GCTAGATCCTGATTCAATATTTATCCCAAGATATGATCAGATTTCAATTCTTTGATAGTTGAGATTTGTATGTTATATACGAATCTGAGTTCTAACATTTATCTATACACGTATAAATGAACAAAAATAGCGGATGAGCGGAACTGTGTTGTTTTAGATAGGTCTACTCTACATGCAATAAGCCAGAGTACAAACCACCAGCTTCGATAAAACATCAAATCAAGATGATGTATATCCATTATGGATAGACTCTTTTGAATAGCGTTCATATCTAGTACAAGGATTCAATGTAGAAATTCGACGCTAGATGCATATTTATTCCAAGATATAATTCGATTTAAATGATTCTATAGCTATGGCTTAAATGCTTTATACAAGCCTAAATTTAACCGATGAGTAAAAAAGGATCAATGGATGAGACTGTTTTCTTTCGCAAAGACCCAAACTTGATCTCAAAATAGAAGTAGAAGGCAATCATTCTGGTTAAATTATTACAACAAGATTGCGTTTCCATCATACGTGTATTCTTGTGCGAATAAGTACTGATCCTAAGTTGATCATTATCAATTCTATCTTATTTTTGCTTTGCTAACACTCGATATTAAACCTTTTACTTGTTAAAAAGGATAAGATTACTTCATTAGAGATGAGCATGGATCTAAGTATGTTACGATCGCTTCAGTTGCAGTATCATCGTCTACTGCAGAATAGAACTTTTACTTATTATACATGGATAAGATTACTTCATTAGATGTGGAAGTAAATTTGCATGTAACTTTGCCATTTTCATAGCAATACTTATTTTACAGGAGTTTAAATCTATTTTATGACTTTATGCAAGAAATTGAGTACCTCTACTCGTAAAACTCAGTACACTTGCTCTGCAATGGATGCTATTCATCCCGAACATGATTAAATCAGCTTTAACGAAAAAGAATACTTATTCTACTTCGCTTTTAGAACTACAATCTAATATCCAATTGATCTGATCATTTTATATAGTGTGATTACGTCTGTTAATAGTGCAGTAATCAAAACTTTTCATCAAATACAATTTATTCATATCAAGCCATAGCTTACTATACAGTTCTTTGTTTTATCTTGGGAAATACTGATAGTTACCAGCATTGCGGTACAGGTGGGTCTATTTTCTTAAAATTGATCATCATTTTTTTTATTACGGATTAAGTTAACGGTTACATCATAATCAGAAGATTTTTTCGAAATTAATTGTTCGATTGTGGCTTTAATTTAAAGCCAGTAAGATTTAGAAGAGAAAGGATAAACATATTGACATATATGTCATATGCTTTACAAGATTCTTTTCCAGTTCCATGTCAATCATACAAAATAGAATACTGTGCAAATTTTTGGGTGGTTTATTCCTGCTTGCATGCTCATATTAAAGTCAGAGTTCGTTTAGACTGAAGGATGATATATCATGCGATGATGCAAATGGTTTATTGGTATGACTAACGTAGTACCAAATGTTTGAAGAAAAAATTGAAATGCACTTATAAGGGGAGGAATTGAATATATTAGTCTTATTTTCCTTATCACAAGCAGAAGTAACTTAGATCATAGGATAAGAAAAATGATGTTCTAATTTGCATGATATTAGATATTTATAATAAGTAAAACCTAATAATTATCCTAGGTACAGCTAACGATATCTTTCACAACAGTAATAAAACAACATTACTGAAAGTAACTTTGGGAATTAATTAATGCATAGCATAATTCGATTTGATAGGGTACCAATAGCATAGTATTGACGCTGGTCATTATTGTTGTTTCTTTTTTAGGGAATAATTTGTTTACTGTCTCAGATCATACAATAATGTATCGCTGTATATTGTAAGAATAATATTTTGATTCTTCAAAACGATTGCCCATAACCTAAAAGGATCTTTCTAATAGCGTTGGTATGATTGAGCAACAGAAGCGATCATTTTCCTCTTTTTCAGTTAAACTATTAAAGTCGTAGTAGTAACTGTATCTTAGTGGTAGTATTACTTACTACTCTACAGAAGCTGTAATGAATATCATGATATATCTGTTACAAATCATTACACTTGAATAATTGTAATACTCGTATATATGTTACGGTAAAAGTGAGCATTAGGCGCGCATTCGCCTAGTGCTCACTTTTACCGTAACATATATACTGATTGAAAATAGAGATGAAATTCAGGATAATGATTTCTTCTTCTTTTAAGCCAATAAGAAGCGTATCTTAGGTATTTATTTACCAATAATAATTGGATTGTACAATTAGTACCTTAGTACTATCTATTCCTAAGAATGCCCTAAATATCAAAAGATTTTATTAAATTCAACGTATTATTCAGCAATGTTTTTTAATCTTGATCATTTATAAATAAACATTTCTAGAAAAAAATAAACGATGATTATACAGCCTCAGGCAAACTTTATCATCTATTCTTTAAAATTGTATGATCTACAACCTACGCAAATAGTGCATCGTTATTTAGATAAAAAAATAGCATGTTCTCCATTCTGTTCTATTTGACATATACGTACACCAGATTGCACTTCTAACAAACTTGACCTTAACGAAGAGGAGCTAGTCCCATTAATAATGTTAAGGCTAGCAATTTGTTGCAATGATGAACTAATTGCTAATTGGTTATTTAGCAATGGGGCTGCCTTAGGCTAAGGTGGATAGATAATCATTGATTCATTTACTAGTATGAGATTCTATATATTTTAATTTGTTGATGGAGATGGGGTCTTGCATTGCACGGATATAAAGCAATTTGGTAATGGGGACCGCATTAATTAGTTATCCGCGGTCTGCTGTATTGAAATTATGACTGTACTTGCTAAAGGTCTCTTTAATTAATGCATTAAAGTGTTGATGTACTGAAAGAACTTTCGTAGAAGTACCTATGCTGTAGATTACTATGACTAGATAAACTCGAGAAATACATAAAGATTCATCGATATAAATCATGAATAGACCGTTATGGATATTCATGAATGGAAATAGCATTAATCATGCTCATGTTTTGCTTCAAAAACTTCCTGATATGCTTAATGACTGTTTCTTAATTATTAATAAGTAACGGTGGCTTTAAAGTCAATCCATCAAATTACACTATAAAATAAAGAACTCTAGTGGGTTAGATGATATTCAGCTACTATAAAAATTATAAGCCAAGCCTATGTTAAATGAGCACATTATCGTAAACCGTCAGCAAAGCGACGGGAGTTTGCACTAGTATATTGTAAATAAGGCTAAAGGAAATACTGCTAAAGAACAATAATTAAATGCAATATCAAATTAAAATCTGTTGAATTTTCTTAATCGAGGAATTAAGTCCTATAAATGTTTTGAGTACAATTAATAAGTATGGAAAAATGGAAGCCTTACGTTAAAACAGCAAATATATCACGGTGAAACGTGTATCATTGATCCTCTATACTGTAGAAGGGAACGTATAAAGCTGTCATTTTCAATCAATGAAGAAAGTGCAATTGATCCTCTACACTGTACTGTAGAAGGGAAAAGTATAAAGCTGTCATTTTCAATCAACGAAGAAAGTCTAATTGATCTTCTACACTAAAGAAGGGAAACATATTTCTTCATTGATTTTCAATCAATGAAGAAAGTCCAATTGATCCTCTACACTGTAGAAGGGAAAAGTATAAAGCTGTCATTTTCAATCAGCAAAGAAAGTTTAATTGATCTTCTACACTAAAGAAGGGAAACGTATTTCTTCATTGATTGAAAATCAATGAAGAAAGTCCAATTGATCCTCTACACTGTGGAAGGGAAAAGTATAAAGCTGTCATTTTCAATCAACGAAGAAAGTCCAATTGATCTTCTACACTAAAGAAGGGAAACGTATTTCTTCATTGCTCCTCTACACTGTAGAAGGGAAAAGTATAAAGCTGTCATTTTCAATCAACGAAGAAAGTCTAATTGATCGTCTACACTAAAGAAGGGAAACGTATTTCTTCATTGATTTTCAATCATTCTTCATCGATTTTCAATCAATGAAGAAAGTCCAATTGATCCTCTACACGATAGAAGGGAAATGTATTCTTCACTCATTTTCAATCAATGAAGAAAGTAGGAGTACAAGCCAGGGAATTATAGAAAAAGGCTTTTCTTCCTGACCTTCTATGACCGAAGTAAACAGCAATTCGCTCGAAAGAGCGATTTGTCCATTTTGATTTCACTAGCTGTCTCGTGTACTCGTCAAAAGTGATACAAGCCTTTATAACGATCTCGACACTTTCATACAGTATACTACCATACTGTACTTTCGCCAAAAACCCTACTTTGATAGGGTACTGTATAGAACGTAGGAAATCGGGTTCAATATTACGCAAATAGCACTATCCAATCAATAATCTACTATGGCACTATTGAATTTCATATTGGCACACCGGTGTTGCACTAATTCCTCTTGGATTGATGAAAATATTTTAGAATTCTTTCTAGTTTAGTTTACAAATTACAGGACTAGTAGAACATTCCACTCCTCCTGTTTAGAGCTCTGTAAGGGCTGCTCTTATTGGCTGTAGCCTTATATGTGAATTTCTATCGATTAAACTAGGCTTGATCTCCCAATTTTCTTGGTAAGCAAGGGCAACTCCAAGTTAATCTCCTGGCTTGCAACAGAAACAACTTCTTCTACCTCTTCATCAGGTAATTTGAAATGAGACTTGTAAACTAGACCCTAAAGTTAGACATAAGTTAACCGAGAATTATAGCTTATGTAGGAGTGATTAACTTAGGAAATGCCTGCAAAGTATGTCGTTGATGTTAGCTTACACCTTTCACAATATTGTAGTGTTATAAAGGAAAGCATTTATTAATTATTCTAATTGATGCGAATACAACTAGGGATAAAAAAGCAAAAAGTGAATGATGCATAATGTATGACAAGAAAGAAATAGTTTGGAATTTGCTTGACACTCAATTTAGTAATAGACAGTTTCACTTTAACTTAGTTACCAATCCAGTAATGGCTGGTAAGCAGCTAACATCGATGCCAGTATGTGTTGACTATCTGTTTGCGCGCCCGTCTTTAACATGATTATGCCACAATTGCTCTGATGATAGGTAAATTACTGTACTAGTCGCTCGATGATGGAATTATCTCCAGGCAAGCTAATTGAACATGATTGGTATGAGAGTAATCAAGGCAGAGAATTTTTCAATTGTTTACTCAGAAAGCAGAAGCGAAGACAATTTGGTAAGGTTGAACTCCAATGACAGTTAGAATAAACATCCATTGCATAATAAAGTACAACATCAAACAAAAACAGATTGAAAATGCATAGCTAATTCAAGCTTGAATACAACTTATGTATTACATATCAATCTTAATCTCAAATTGACCTGAAAAAAAATTCATTAAATCCATTTATAAGGTTAAGCTATTTCTGGGCAGTAGTTATTCGCTACCAATTCATTATGATGGACTATCTCCATCAAGTTTAACAATAACTCTTCGTCCTTTCAGGTGTACTCGAAAGACCAACATTTCCTTTAGGGATGTCATCGGAAATACAGTCTTATAAATTATTCTTATATGGGAAGGCTGGCGTAGGCAAGACCAGCTTAATTTGCAAGTTATGTGGTTTAGGTAATCGTGTATACTAACTTAAATTGGAACATTTGTTTTAGCATCAATGCATACTGTGGGATGCCGTTTGATTTTGTGCTCCTTACACTCTATTTTAAAAAAATGTAGTAGTAGAAGAAATAGTCATTTTAAAGGCAATAATACAGTATATGTCAGTGCATATGCAACATATATAAGTATGGAGCATCTTGCAAATTGTGTATGATGAATAAACCATGGATTGTTTAGTGAAACTTGACTGATATTAATTGATTGTTTGGCTACAAAATTTTAATATCAAATCAGTCAGGTAGACAAAGATTGAAAAGCAATATAGCAATAGTTGTCAATTGAAGTCTGTCTTTAATTTCATAAATTTTTGCATTATCAGTTGCAATTTGTCGTCATGGAGCCACTTGTAAACTGTTGGCATTGATTTAATATTATGTTAAAGTACTTAGAGACTTTCTGACAAAATTCAGTCATTCATATTGCACACCATGCAATACGAGAGATAAACATTCAACAAGCTCTAGGCTGTATCATAATACAATTAAATAATATTTTACTGTTATGATCATAGTCAGCTGCTTTATGCTGGGAGAAAGCTTTTGCAAGCCTCATTCTCCATAAATACTTAATTTGTGTGTCATCCCTTGATTATACTCTAGTGGTCTACTATATCATTCTATACATTACTATTTTTAATATCATTGTGAAATAAACAACATACGATGTACATGCGTGCTAATATATCCAATTGTAAAATTATTTACCGTTGCTAGATATTCCTCAAATACACCATGAAACTCCAGGCTTACAAACATCTACTATTTATTGGCCGGCTAAGGTAGATAAATAAACAATTTTTTATTATCTGTAGTTTGCTTTTCTGTGCATCTACGTAATTACATGCGACAACGTAGCCGTGCTCTATATTCCTCTATATCAGCTCTTTTTAACTGCAAGTATATAGTACGAATAACTTTTAGTTTGACTATAGTTTTAACTGTATTTCTTTTCGTTTAGCTTGTCAACAGTAACGAAGTGATTACATTTAAATTTATTTTGTACGACGTTGGAGAATTTGCATTAAAGAAATACAATCATTTTCTTCCAGTAAGTTGAACATCGATAAGCATACACTAAGATTTAAATTACGATTAAGAATGGCTTTATTGGATTTAATTTATTCGAAAATACTGGACCCATCACCCAGTAAAATATTCAATTTTTGACCCTTTTCTCCAGTAAATGATGGTTAGCTCTGCTCGCTAAATTGCATTTACAATCAAGATTCAATGCTGTGCTATGCACAAGTGTACTGTATGCAGTATTGCATGTAACTGATGTTTTCAATTTTAATGTGCGTTACTATATACCGTTTCTGCTATGCTTAATTGCAAGTAAGCAAACCATCACGAAATTTTCGATCGTATAACTCCGCAAAGAACTCGGTTGTTTGTGCTATAGTTACCATGGTCCCTACAACTCCTTACCGTACTAAACGGTATCCCTCACACGTGTACTGTAGTAACTACAGCAGTAGAATTTTAATAAGTGGATACGGAGTGCAACTAAAACCGTCAAGAGCCACAACTCTAGTCTTGCCATCTTGTCTAAGTAGATCGAAGAGCTCATTGCATCCTTCATGATGAAATAGGTGGGGAAGAATGGAGGTCTCCAATGTCTGTAGTATTCCTACCCATACCTACGGTACAGTCAGTACAGTACACTGCGTTAAACAGTACAGCACAGTATACCGTAACACTATATTGCACCGTACTAAACTATACTGTACAGGAGTAGTCCATTGTTGTAAATTAAATTTAAAAGTTGAACAGACAACATTCAATTATCAATTTATGCCATGCATAGTGAAAAATGTTGAATCATTTAAGGCTAAACTCGATTGCTAAAACATTTTGCAACGATGTCGGAAGTGGGTTGCGGCTCGTATCTGATTTCAGAGTGAAATAAATTACAAATTTGTACCAGGGAACTTTGGGAGCCTCCTTAGCGCAGTAGGCAGCGCGTCAGTCTCATAATCTGAAGGTCGTGAGTTCGATCCTCACAGGGGGCAGGATTTTTTTGGTGAATTTTTTTTCCTTTCCTCCATTCTTTTTCCTGATCTCGATTTTAGGTCCAAATCAATAACCGTGAAAACTGTTAGCTATACGATTTCTAGATTTACGTTCAGAATTTATAGTTATATTGTCGCTTACCGTGACTATTCAGCAGCTAATTTCAATCGCTGAACGAGTCGCGTTAAATTAATTTACATAGTGCACGGTGGGCCACAACCTTGTCAAAATATCATTTTGTCAAGTTGCTGAAATTCAAGAATTTAATAGAAATTGGTTGTTTCTGTGTTTGCCTAACTTGAAAAGTAACCAACAATATTGAATAATTCACGGTGCTACTGTACGCAAAAATGTCCCTGAAATAGTAAATGACTAACGCGGGTCCACAGCGAGGTCACACCACTGGTTAATGATCAACTTTGAAACCTTTGACCGCTTCCGGATTGGTGTTAAAAAAGAGTCTGCCTGTAATAATATTACCCTTTAGGCCTTTACCCTTACTCTAGCAGCTAATTTCAATCGCTGAATCGGTTGACTGAATTAAATTATAAATTAGTATGTATGGCCTGCTATTCAGCTGATTTTTCTGACATCGGTTTTACAGTTAGTTCCAAATCATCAAACTAAACCGTTGGACTATTTTATTTCCAGATTTGCATTAAGAATCTTCAAATAATATTGCCGTTTACCATTACTGCAGTAGTTAATTTCAATAGCTGATCGAGTGGTGTTCAATTAGTATGTATGACCTACTATATGTACAGTGTACAAGTTTACAGTGTATACTATATGTACGTTCATGCTATCGATTTCAGCCCAATCATTTTGGCTATTTCGTAATTGGATAAATGAATCAAGATTCATTAATCATATACTATTATCAGTACTTAGTCATTGTGCTGATTTCCCTGACATTGGTTTTGTTCTGAATCATCAACTTTTAAACCATTGGCCATACTATTGCCAAATTTTGCGTTAAGAATCTGTTATTATAATATCGTTTACCGTCATTTCAGATAATTCCAAATAGCTAAACGGGTGATGTTAAGTTAGCTGGATTTGTCAGGCATTTTTGTCCATACTATTTTGTGATCGGTTAATACTTAATCCTTGGCCTAATTTCCTTGACATTGGTTATAGTTTCAAATTATTAGCTATTTAACCCTGGGCTATGCTACTCCCAAATTGGGGTTAAGAATTTGTAATTATAGTGTCGTTTACCCTCACTTCAGTAATTTCAATCGCTGAAGGAGTGGTATTAAATAGCCGCCATGTCAGCTGGTATGGTACTATTCGTGTTATCGATTTAGCAAGGCAATTTTGCTGACGCTACGTGTGTTTCATAATCGGATGAAAGATATAAATGAATACTTAGTTATTGCACTCATAGATAAGTATCCCTATACACGTAAATGTTAAGAAGATACAGAAATTCAACTCAATGACTTCCGTCTTAGCTGTAGTACTGATATTGTGATCTATTAATTTATGAACAAATAATTAATTAATCTAGGCTTGCATAGAAAAAGTAGATGCTGTTATCTTTACCTTCTCGTTCGTTGACAGGTAAGTGTTGAAGACTAACCGACATACTGTACCTTATATACGTGTATACTCTTATTGTAGTTATATACGGTCACAGTAAAATGATTGCTTGTATCACAATGATCATTAGCTTCTCCAATCAAGTCTATTTCGCTAGCAATTGCTAAATGAATAATTAAGTTACCCATTGTAGTAGTTCAACTGACATGACAAACTGGTCATATCGTCTAGACAAAATAGAGAACAATCTAAGCCAGTGCCAATATTATACCAAAGTTAAATATCACATATTTTAATCACCAAGTTATTTTTTAACATTTAACTTTAAAATTGTTATTTTCAATTATCTAGGGCTAGCTTTGATGATCTTACAAATTCTGTGAGTGGTCTCATTTAAAGTCTAGTAGAAACTTCCCTTGTTGATTAATTTAAATGATACTAATTTTAAAACAATAACAGGTTGATAATTTAGCCTTGCCAGAAAAGTCGACGCTAAAAATTGTTGTTGGGACTAAATATCCGATCTTAACATCTAGATCTTAAAGCGTTATTTCAAACTCTCTGCATATTTATATAGTATTTATATTCTTTGCGATATTGAAACAGTATTGATTAAAAGTGTCCTTAACGGGTTATAAAGTATGACCAATTCATGTATAGTGAAATTAGCGAGAGAGAATTACACGAATTTGAACAGGAAAGGAAAATAACTGCCTTCAAAATGAAGAATATTTGCTCTAAATTGCCTGACGGTAACTTAGATGCTTGGGCTAATATCCATGTAGGTGTAAAACTAGCTTCAGACTTATCAACGATTCAAAATATTCTACAGTTGAAACAATATTAACACGCTTAAAAGAAACTAACGCTCTACTAATTTATCCTGGTACATTCTTAATATGTCTTTTTATCTATTGACTAAGGATACTTCAACGTTCCTAAATAATCTCTGTGAACAACTACTTCATAGGGATCGGATAGCAGCCAGACATAGAATTAATTGATTATTGGTCATGCATACACAAATCTCTATGTTCTTGGACAAACGCTCGTATCCAGTGCTGCAAAGCATAATCAGTAAAAGTCATATAGTGCTAAGCTTGAAATGTTTTGAGGTATTCACTCTTTGGCCTCAAATATTACTCCCGTGATACTAAATCAACGCTTAGCATTATTTCTGTAGAAAATAATTGTATAAAATGTATATATACTCGTATACGTATGTATACTGTAGGTAGTAACAATGTTGGTAAATAGACTTCTAACATTGTACAGTAAAATACTATCCGTTCATTTTATCTCATCCAGTATTGTAATAAAGCGTTACGTCAGATATGTTCATAGCAAATTGTACACTGATAACATTTGTTAAACAGGTAAATTTTATTATTCGCTGTTGCTTAATATAACAATGATCGTTATATGTTAACGAGCGATTTTATGAAGTTTGTCCACAAACGTTTAAAAGTAATATCGATTGAATATAATGAAGACAACAGATTGAAATGGATGATTATTTGGATTGTATACTTTTCGGCAATCCAGTATTAAATAAAATGAAACTGGCAAATTATATTAGCATATTATAGCTGAAAGCGCTACTTTATCATAGATACGAGACTAATCACTACAAATTATGGTTTACTCCTACATACAATACTCTAAAAATAATAGCTTAAACATTCACAGATCAGTTAGAAATAGCTATATTGTGCAATATTGTAGTATTAATGTAACAGCAGTAGTAAGTAGTAGCTGCATCAGCAAGAAATAGTATAACAATTAATGTATAAAATTACTTCTATACATGCGTAGCATTATGGCAGTAAAGAAAACCTCTAGCGTAATCTATATATCTCAACAGGCATTACGAGTTACGTAATTAATGTTAAACACAATATGGCTCATTACAGATTTTCTTAAGTAAGTGAAACGATCTACACCCATATCAATTAAATTTGATATCGCCTTTAACTTAAAAAATAGAAAAAAGCGAGAAATCTCCCCAAAGGAATCTGTATGTCATTTTAATTATACGAGTTAAGGTATCTGAATTTGTCTATTAGCAATGACACTATAGCAGGACATTATTGATTCGACCATAGGATTTTCGCGATCAGTAAGACTAAATCTGCGGATCGTGAGCAGTCCCTACACTCAATTAGTATCTTTTTTTTTATCCTACACAATAAAAATAATCAATTACAATAGAACACATTTCTTCTTCTTCTTTTCTTCCGGGGGCTCTAAAGCAGCCAATATCGCTTCATCGAAAACATTCTTCAATCCTTTCTGCGTCAAAGCAGAACATTCAACATATTTAACGGCTTTAAGTTCTTTACTTAATCTTTCTGTGGCATCAGAAGTAATAGGTTTCAATTTATTTTTATTTAACTTCTCTATCGTAGCCAAATCGTCACGTAAATCAATCTGTGTTCCAACAAGCAGGAATGGAGTTTTTGGACAATGGTGCGAAATTTCCGGCACCCACTATTAGTCAGTTAAGCAAGGATAACAAAAAGTACGCGTAAGTAATTTGTTAGAATATTGCGAAATTGGCAAGAAGGTATCGTGGCCGTGAAATTTTAGTTCTTATACTTTTACATTTCATAGAACATAAGTATATAATTATTCTTCAACTGGAGATAAATAAAATAAGACTAAAGTAATTACGAGCCTTGTTAGGTCGTTGAACCGATGAGAATGTTAAAATGTTACAGTCGATGCATCATATACTTCTAAATTATTATACTGTATAATAATACATGCCTTTTCTTTAACGTTTTCAAAAGAGGAAGGATTAACAACGGAGAAGCAGACTAAGAATACATCGGTCTGTGGATATGACAAGGGTCTCAAGCGGTCATAATCTTCTTGTCCTGTAACACGAAACAAAGCAAAGAGGTCAATGGATATAATCATCTTTATAAATTAGCACTATCTATCTTTCCAATCACTAAATGGGTATATTCTCCCTTAGTATCGCATCGAAACAATCGTTTTACATACTAGTAGATTATTTTTTAGTCATATTGCGTAGTTAATGAATAGTCGTAGCACTATAGTGTCAACTACATACAGTATTGTATTGCGTACAAAGATTCATTACTAATAACTAATTACTCACTATTTGCTATAGTTGCCTAGCCTATGTATTATCAAAGGTAGATTCAACATTGAAACAAAAATACGGTAACCCAAGCGTTTAATATCACAATACGCTACAGTGGTGTAGGTTAGAATGATATGAATAACAGGTTCCATCAAGGCAAGTACGTACAATATCAAATGCAGACTATAACAAAGGATCTTAGAAAAGTAGATGTACTGTTAGCGTCTGTATTTAGTAACATTATTCGACAATAAACACTTATTGAGTTTAAAAGTATCACTTTTCTACAATAAAAAGTTTTACAATTATTTAGGAAGGTAAGTCTTCTTAATTAATATACTTCAATTTACAGCTTGTAAATTATCCGATGCAAACAGCTATAAACCTAATACTATGTATAGTCCCCCAAGGTAGAATATAGTGAACTAGTTTCAATTTTGTAAGGCTTTCATTTTTACTTTAATAACGAATTGATTGCCGTTCGCATGGACATGTTGTATTTAGATTAGGAGAAGATTTGGTGGTAAAATTTTGCAATGGGTGTCGTAGTCAAAATGACTTACCTGCAGTATCAAATAATCCAAGGGTATATGGCTCGCCACCAATCATGACAGTAACCGCATAGTTATCAAAGACCTATTCAAAAAATTGATGATCACTATCATATAGAAATACAGCAGTGATCTACAACAACAAAACATGTACTGTATGGTATAATAATAAGCTCGCCAAAATAATAGTACATGCAATTTTACATACCGTAGGTACATATTCGCTAGGAAACTTATTGGTTGTATACGAAATTAACAGACAAGTTTTACCAACGGCACCATCGCCTACAACTACGCATTTGATTGTCTGCATTTTGGTACAGCTTTAGATGGTATACTTGGTATTCGTAAAAGACCTGAAAGAATACAAATACGCTGAAATGTTGAAATCACGATACCCTCGTTACAGTTTGAATTCGAGCTACATGGACAAATTTAGATTGTATAAAACGCATAAAACCAACAATTCACTTTCAATCATAGTGCAGCGTTGTCTAATCATTTGAATGGGCTACAACATACTGTAACAATTCACATATTCCAAGTTGTTTAAGCAATGTTCAGCCATGATTATTGACAAGGAATAATGACTAATCAAGATCGTCCAGATATACTTTGCAATTTGTAGACTATCATATTTGTCATCCTACACGATTAACAAATAGTATCAGTACTCGTGGGTCATTCCCTTTTGTATTTATAATGGCTTACAGCTACTGTAATTCTTTAGTAGGATGATCCCAAATTTATATGAGTTGTATCAGTAATAAGCTGGTATCGCAGTAAACATCATTTAATTGTATCGTTTGTTTCTTACGGTAATAAAAAATAGATACATTGCTCTATCAAGATTGAATAGGTGCAAGATAGGGGTATGCTAATTTCAAATGTAGTCCTGAAATAGACTTGATATCTTTCTATATTTCAATCTTCCAAAGTTTCGATACCAAGTGTATGCCAACAATTTTTGCGAAGACAGCAGTAGTCTAGTATACCGTCGCGGCATTTATTAGGGTAGGGGATTCTTCCTTTTCAGCAAGTCAAAATCGGTAGAAATAAGTATTCATTCCTACCCTTATTAATATTTAATAAGCTATAGATTACTATCACGTACAAAGGAATGAGGGTAATATTCATTCATGTTATAGCAACATGAACGATCCATTTGTAGCGTCATGGTTGCCCATAAATGGAACATAGCATTCTCAAGTTCATTCAAATAGAAAGCAAGTGATTTCAGTTAGCCGACAGGGCTATGCTCGAGGTAGCGAAGAAAGTGCACCCGAGTTTACAAACGATGTCATACGTCGATATAGTATTCAGAATAGGATTATTTTATTTCCATTTAGTCAACGATCTGGTGGGAGTAGTTTAAAGATTCCATTATGTCGAGTTTTGCGTCCAAGTCGACGATACAGCAGAATTGGCCTAGAGGCAGTATCCATTCTATTCTGTTCTGATTGAAGCTATTCTATTCAATGTTTCGAATGTTAACATAACGTTAACGGCCTTGAACTATGTACTATTCACAGTTAGGGCATTTGTTGGAGAATACTGGTAGCTACGGTCAATGCATCACTACAGTAGTTGCAATAAATGAAGTCGGTTTTATCATTGATGTATTTGGTGGTTGAAAAATTAGTTACTACAGTCTAGTCGTTGCTATTTTTCTCTGCTCTTGACTAGACAATCAACATGATTGAGGTTAAGCAATGATGCTGTAGCTTGATGTTGTGGTGGCCATTGGTAGGCTACGCCGGCGAATCCAGTACAGTATATGTAAGCTGATTTATTCTGCTAGTCGCTACGGTAGTGTATCCATCATCGATGATGACCATTGGATATGGAGAATTCTTCTTCTTTCTCCAGTACAACTTTTATGGTCAAATCATGACTACAAGCCTAGACTACGGCCTTCTGCGGAGTATTGGCACTACTAGGCCGCAATGGGCAGTTTACTTCTGGTCCTCCACCACAGCGAAGGGTTGAACTTGTTCCAAGGTCCGATATCGCCGTAGGCGTAGCAGAAGCGTGGTTTACTGGCTATTGAAGATTGGATGTGTTGGATTTTGCATCGGTTTCTATCTATCTCCTACCTATCTCTACTCTTTGTCGTCTACTTTATTCCTTGCCATCTTGGCATCCATTAAAGTCTACATCTTATTGGGCTTGTATTGAAAAATACAGCCGCATGTCTAATGGACCCCATCGATGGCGTCAGTGATGCCAATACTATTTGGATTGTAGCACGTTTGTCTTTGTCGATTCCAAATAGACAACATGTGCCCACTGTATGTGGATACGGTAAGCATGTTGTATAGCACTTTTGCAATCATCAAGGCTAGGGTTATTTTGATTGATCGTTTTACATCGATGGTTGAAATGATGAAAGACTAGAGGAAGAAAAAAAGGCAGCGATGGTGTCGAGTGGGGTCCTACTGTACCCCATTTCGGTCGAAGTGGGGGCCGCAATGGATGATGATTGTCATGGAAGCAGGCTAAAAGGCCAATGTCTACCCTACCTCTCTTTCACTAGACTGATCGAGGCTGTAGGAAAGACGATAGACTATTTTTACTAGACAAGAATGCACTCTTTAACAATCTACTCCACTCTTTGAAGGGCAAATAGCATCCATTTTGATCTTGTGTTGATGCAATGTTGTCTATTGGGCAGTATACCCGGGTGGGCATGGAAAATGCAGTGATGATCCACGTCTAGGGTATGTCGCGAAACGTTGTCAAAACATGATGGTATCGACCGAGAAGTGATGACAGTGCGGTATTGTCACCGCAATTTCCCGAGTACTAGACTGTCTTGTGGAAGAAGGCCGTGGGGGCCGCATCCTTTCTCTCCTTTTTCGACGGTTCGTTGGGTTAGGCGTTTTATTTTGAAATACAACTGCTTCACATGCAGTGGATTGTTGACTAAGGGGGTAGAAAAAGACAATCTCTATCTGTGGTTCTACTCATTTGACACCATAGTCAAGCAAGATGGCTGATTTAAATGATTGAAAGTATCAACAGCCATAGCAGCTGGGAAAAGAGTTCGCGTCTACACTCGACACGTTTCCCACTAGCGACGAGTGTGTCTTTCAACCATGTTGTTGTTGAATTTTTCTACTTTCATTGCCTCCATCCAATACAAGTGATTGTAAACGACAAGAGCGACAAGAAATGACAAAGTCATGTTATGACTTACCTTGAAGAAAGTATTTGAATCCAAATCGGCTTTCCAAGTGGGTTTTTTCGACCTTTTTAGCGATCTCTACTTGGGCGTTTAGGAAACAAATGCTGTTGCTAAAAAATACTTTGGCATTGACCAGTTGATACCGTGGCAATGACGCACCGGCTTGATGTTCTACCAGGTTTAAAATCTATTCCAGGGCGGCATGCATCAAGCAGACTCCTAGGGAGGGGAAAAAAAGAAGCCGCTTGTACTGTAGAGACTACGCTGCCGCTTTAGGCTGCTACAGTCCATGGATGGTGTACAATGTACTGTATTCTACAGTACAGTACTGTCGCCATTTAGCATCCTGTACGGCTGTACAGTGTCTCCTGTCCAGCAGTACAGGATATGGAGTCGACTTTTCAGTACTGTACTGTACACTGTACAGCACTGGACTTTTCGTTCCGGGTCCGGACCAGATTAGGACCTCTGGGGCAATTATAGTACAGTGTACAGTACTGTACTGTACAATATAATGTATTCTAGTACTGGATATGGACAGGACTTTTCAGTACTGTCCTGTCGACTCTACAGTGTAAAGTCTGTCAAAGGGTATGTACTGTACTGTACTGTACTGTACACTGTACAGCACCGGACTTTTCGCTCCGGGTCTGGACCGGGATCAGAACCTTCAGGCAACTACAGTACAGTGTACTGTACACTGTACAGTAGTACTGGATATGGTGGACTGGACTTTCCAGTACCGTACTGTAGACTGACTCTACAGTGTAGAGTCTGTAAAAAAAGGGTCTGGACTGTACTGTACGGTACTGTACACTGTACAGCACTGGACTTTTCGCTCCGGCTCCGGACCGGATCAGAACCTTGGCCCAACTATACAGTAGGACAGCGTACTGTACAATATACTGTATTCTAGTACTGGATATGGACTGGACTTTCCAGTACTGTCCTGCAGACTCTACAGTGTAAAGTCTGTAAAAGGGCATGTACTGTACACTGTACTGTACTGTACTTTTTTCGCTCCATGTTCGGACCGGGATCAGAACAGTGGGGCAACTACAGTACAGTGTACTGTAGTGTACTGTACAATATACTGTACTACACTACTGGAGAGATGGCACGATCTGTGAAGACCTGGAAAACTACAGTGTACAGTACCCTGTACTGTGCTAGACTACTGTAATTAGGGCGTAACCATTGTTTTATTTATTGATTATTTGGATATTTATATTTGTTAGTCAACCTGTGACGACAGCGGGGACAAATGGACAATCAATCATTTCTTGTCCGTTGTTGTCATTAGTCAATGGAAAGGGAATCTCCACGCCAGAATGGTGTACAACAACATGATGCATAATATGATGGGTGTCATAAAGTACATTGGACCACGCTGGCAGTGCGCTAGTTTACTTTACTTTATCCAAGACAGGCTGAGACAAAGTAGAGTCTGTATGCAACTTGCAACGCCAAAGGTGGCGGCACTACAATAATAGTATCATGGATGGATGTGGAGGAGGATTGAGCCCCTGGTGCCATCCAGTCACATACTGTATCTGTGTACCATGTCAATGGATCCATTGATACGGTAATCGATTCATCATAATACGATAGCTTCAAAACCTTTCACAAGATGGACTTGTCCAAAAGAGAAATTGTCTTTTTTGCCAATTCCTCAATCCTGATACAGAGTACGCTCGAGACCCTAGTGTCCTATGGGATGATTATATAAATAAACTACTGTGCTGTACCTCCAGCATACACTACTGTCATGGAGTAGTTTGCGCACTCCCTACGAGCCTACAGTATTGGAGACCCGAAAAGAATGTGACCAATGGAATGTGGAAAAGAAAATTTTCTTCCAGTACATTATCGGTCAATATTGGCCCAGTAGAGTATTGTACTGGACCACTCATTAAAGCCAATTGTATAGTACTGTAGCTTGTACACGATTGTACCGTATGTACTGTCAAAAGTAGGGCAATCAAAATGAATGGTGGACTAACTCAATTGATAGACTATTGCTAGCGAAATACGCTTTAAAATGTATACCAAAACGAATTTCATTGCTACTTGTGACTACAACTGTGAAAGATCTCGATCCACGGTATGAATCACTATACAAATGAAATGGACGATCATTCAATCCAACAGACGAATAATACGAGTGTTCTCAAAATAATAAATAATCATTCAGATACGCGTACTTTTCAAAGTTCATGATAAAAGCGGTCTAAAAATATTGCTGAAAATGGATTAAGCCCACGAAAGTGAAATGATACAAGTGGGGAGGCCAAGATCTACCCCCAAAAAGGTGAATCGACTGGTAGTATAATAACCTACAGCGGTATGTTCAGCAAAACTTAAAACTACTACAGTATACTGCCATACTTTACCAAGGGCATACTGCACTGTACTGGATCACACTCAGATCCACTCGACTTTCTGAGCGAAAGTGGACGGTCTTCTGTCCGTCCCCAACTAGACCACACAAAGCGCTGCAAACAGCAAATTTGGATAACAAGCGTGAGCAGTGAGCAGTGAGGCCAAGATCTACCCCCAAAAAGGTGAATCGACTGGTAGTATAATAACCTACAGCGGTATGTTCAGCAAAACTTAAAACTACTACAGTATACTGCCATACTTTACCAAGGGCATACTGCACTGTACTGGATCACACTCAGATCCACTCGACTTTCTGAGCGAAAGTGGACGGTCTTCTGTCCGTCCCCAACTAGACCACACAAAGCGCTGCAAACAGCAAATTTGGATAACAAGCGTGAGCAGTGTAGTGTATCGTTTCAGACACAAGATTGACTTAAAATAACTAGCAAAATAGTCGACCCACTTATTTTGACTAGGTAGAACGGCTTTGCCCTGTCCCTCCTCCCTTTCCTGGTTACGATGCCCGCGGGCGGAGATCGAAGATACTAACCATCCGGGCCCCGAGCTTCAGCCTTCGGACTCTGCGCTCTGGGCCTGCGTCACAGCCGTCACGATACGAGCAAAAGGCGTTTGCGTGTTTGTACTGTAGCGAATAGAGGGTAAATGGTGAATAAGTTTCCTATACGATACTGTGCCTTGTGAGGTTAGCTAGTGTACTAGTATCTTACCTCTCCACATTACAGTACTTCAATTACAGTGCAAAGAAAAGCTTCTGATTCTACTCGAATCTCCATGGTGTTCATGTGCCAACTTGTGCCTTCCAGAGCAGTTTTGCAAATTCAAATCAATGCGTAGACATTAGACAACGTCCAATCCATTGGTTGTAGCTGGCAATACATCTCCTAATTCAACTAGCTATCTACTCGACTTATCGTATCAAGCAGTAGTTAATAATAAGGTTCAGATCGTCGCCCACAATCGGTCAAACCAAATCACTGGCACGCCTGCAAGATGCCATCTAAACGCAAGAGCAAAGCTTCAGCTCCTAGTCGTAATAACCAGCCTCAATCTTTGCCTGCTCATAAAAGGTATACCTTTTTACAATTCAATCCATAACTTACCGTTTCAATCAGTTATAAATGTCTTCATACTTTCGACATGGTAAATGGACGTATTGTAGTAGAATAGCACTTAACTTCATGGATGTGAAATAACGTGTCGAGTTGTGGAAATGATTGCATTCAACCTGCATACGCTCGTAGACGCCATGGCAGCTGCAGATAGCAGACACGTCTACAGCTGTTATCGTGTTGTTAATTCAATTTCATCATGCATCAATACGCTATAGCGTCCATTTTACTCGGGCAAACTACGGTTCTGTCTTCTAAACAACTGATGCAATTGCTAGTCGAACACTTGCCTTACTACCAACGTGTTATAGTCAATGAACATAACGTTATCTGCAATCACTCCTCAGTTATAGTAATCACTTGCAATGTTCGTAAACTAGAGCAAGCAATAGTGTACCTGCAATCAAACTCATCTTTTCTTGCGTAGGAAAAAGCTTAGCGATTTGAAAACGGAAGAGTTCCTTTCTTATGGTCTCGACAGTGATATCGAAGAAGACATTCAAGACGATGTCGACCATGAAGAAAAGAAAAGCGATGCAAGGTGCGTAATTCTCTATTGCAACGGAATGAAATGACAGACATGGTCAATTCATAACCTGCAGAAACCGTACAATTGCTACATCGAAGGCTTTACCAATCTAAGACAATTCTTAATGTTTGCACTTTTGTAAACGGCGAATTAGCGATTGACTGCTGTAACACACCTGTTACTTAGTATTACGCCATAAAATCTGATTAATAATCACTATTTGAATCTATTAGTGCTTCCGGTAAAACATCGAAACACAAGATGCAGCTGCAACGTCTGCAAGAAAACGATCCGGAATTTTACAATTATCTGAAGGATAACGATCAAAATTTGTTAGAATTTGACGTCAGCGATGATGATGGTGATAATGACAATGACGATGATGGTGATGATGACAATGATGATGATAATGACGAGGATGATGGTGAAAATAAAAGTTCTAGTAGTGATGAGGAACAAAACGTCAAACAGGATATGCCAAATCAGAACGACCAACGTCAAGATCCTAGCATCCAACAGCATTCTGGTAAAGTAGTTACAGAAGAAATGGTCAACAAATGGAGAGAATTGTTTGAAGTCAGTTTTTCATCATCAATGATACCATTCTGTAATTACACCAAAATTACGGATAACGTTTTCCTCTTACTTACTTCTGCCAATAGGCATATTCATATGCAGCCATGAAGCAAATCACTAAAGTATTTCATGCTGGCTTACATCAGCGCATCTTAACAAATGAGGAAAATCAAAACGAAAAATTTATTTACCGAATTGACAATGATGACGGTATACGAATACAGTTTCAATGATTTCTTATCTGGGATTGAGTTATTATTTCCTAATTCAAATTTTCAATATGCTCTTACAAAACTATTTTTTCACGTTTTAGTCTTAAACGCTATTATAAACTTGTGTTTAAGCCAAATTCCTTCGTATTTGGATCATTTCTTCCCTCCACCAGCGCAAGAAAAATCAAAGAAAAAGTTATAGAAATTATATAATTCCATTCGTAATATCAACATTGAATAATTACAAATTGCCCTATTTTCTACATACTGTATTAGACCCGATCTACCTTCATCATCGAAGAAATGGCCGCAATTTAAATCATCTATTAAATCCTATCTGTCTGATCTCTTGCAGGTAGATTTCTTCACTTTAGTATCTTACCTATTGAAATATTACAGAAAGTCGCTGATTTTTCCACTAAACATTAATTAAATGTTCTTTATTGATTCGGCACCATTTTTCTATATCCAGCTCCTTAAGCATATCTCTGATCCCAAAATATTATGTGGTATTCTACGCAGCTTCAAATCTATCTTTCGTTATTGCGGGTGTTTCCCCAAGTTATGCAGGCAGTATATGAAGGTAAATACAATTGAAACCCAATAAAGAATATGTCCATCATGTCAATGGATGTGCAGTTTCTGATAGTTGCTGTTTTGCATCTAAAATTAGCATTTGATGCATTTGTGGAGCTCATCAACACAGGAAGATGTACGTGTTTTAGCATTCTTATGCATTCGAAAATTGATGGATTTACTAACTTCGAAGGAATTTAACGAAACCATTAAAGTATGTTTTGACCAAAGACGGTCTTTCAATAAATAATAAACTGACTCTTAAAATTCTGTGAAATTATCAATGTTGTATCTTATGTAAATTTATTACCAATCAATAATTTTACCAACTGTAGATGCGAAATGTTATCTTACCCCCATTCTTTCTTACGTTTTATAGTTGATGTATACAGCGTATATTAGAAATTGTAAATTCACTACTCCAACTACACTACCATTTATTGCATTTATGCAAAGCTGTCTACTCGAAGTTTACAACATTGATAGTTCCGTTACATATCAGCATGCATTTATCTACGTTCGCCAAATGGCCATCCACCTAAGAAATGCGATGACCTTAAAGAAGAAGGTAACCTACTGCATATTGTGCTTTATTGTTGCTCCCATAGATCAATGTGACTATTACACCCCCTTTAGAAATATTGACATTGATGTAACTGCATTTTTTTTAGGACGCTTTTCAAACTGTTTACAACTGGCAGTATTTGCACTGCATCCATTTATGGTGCAGAATTCTTAGCGATATTTCATGTAGAGAGGCATTGAAGCCTCTCATTTATCCATTAGTTCAGACGACATTAGGAGTTATTCGGTAAAATTATCTAAATTAAAATGATTGATTTTATGCTCGTTATTAGCTGTAACAATCTAGTAATTTCTTCAGCATGTTGCAACTATAATTAAATACGTTGTTGCCGTGTATTTTTTTATTAATGGCATAATTAAGGTTGGTTCCAACACCGCGCTTCTATCCGCTAAGGTTTCACTGCATTAGATCACTAAATTATTTAGCGCGCTCTGCGAAAACTTACATACCAGTTTCCTCATATTTACTTGAGGTGAGATATAAGTTATGCCATCGTCTTGTTGAGAGGTATTATGAACATACTGATATTCACATTTTCAATATACACCAAAGATATTGGACACGACTGAATTAACAAAGAAGAGAATGAAGGAATCATCTGGTAAACCTATCGATTTTGTATATGCATTGAGCATGCCGAAATCAAAATTGGCCACCAAACAATTCTATGTAAGTATAGTTGATTCTACCAATAAACTTGCCTAATGAGTTTTGCCCCTAAAGTATATTCGAAGTTACTACGGATCGAACTTGCTGGTGATACTCTTATAATAAATTTCTTAGGATGCTACAGTGGAAAATATCTTTGAGTTGCTGTTAGACCACTATGCTGCTCATTCCTACTCTGTCGCCTTTCCTGAATTAGTTTATTTAGCTATCAGAACGGTATTCTTATCATTAACATTTTAGCTAAATACTTTCTAATTGCTTTGCTGCAAAGACTGAATTATTTAATATTTACCTTGATATCCTGGTTGGTAGCTGCGACAATTCCTGAAAACGAGTAGCTTCTCCCATTATCGTAGATTAATGAAACAGCTTGTTGATAAGGTAGACTTAAGACTGTAGACTGTACTCATCTTTGCAATCGTCTAATAGATAAGCTTAGTGATGAACTAATTCTCACTGTAACTTTTAGATTGAGGAAACGTCAAAAATTATTGACAGTAAACGCTCGATTGTAACTTTCGGACCTAAAGATGATCAACAGATTGTAAGTTTAAAGTGTCAAGGTAGCTCATATTGAAACATCTTGAAAACTGTTTTTAATAATGGTTTTGTCTTTTGTCGCGTATAGCAACGTTGGGAAAGTGCTTTAATGTCTACTGTAAGTCCAATAGAGAAGTATTATAAAACTTGGATTACAGCGAAAGCAGATCGAATGAAACAAAATCTGGAAAATGCAAAGGTATACGATATATTGCAGCAATAAGTAATAACCGTAATTTAACTTTGTTATCAAAAAATTATAATGAATTAATTAGTATTCGATATACCTTGCGATCTGTACGCAGGATGAAGTAAGTGAAAACCGAAGCAAAAATTCGAGACCTAGTAAAAATGCTAAGCGTAAGAATAATAAAAAGGCAAACCAAGGCCAAGTAGATAAAAAAATTGAAAAACGTGAAAAAGACGAAAAAGACATGTCCGACGGTAGCGAAGCGTCTGTGGACGTAGATGATGAGGTAGTGGATTTGGAATTCTCTGAAGATAGTAGTGACTAAAGACTTATAAATCTGTGATATGGTCCTATAAATGTCGCTTCCACTTCCAAGTCATGGTTACAATGACATATTTACGTGTTGTCACACTAAAATGAAGTCATGTATAGTCGAATTGCCACATAAGAACATGCTAGAATTGATGTTTATTGCAAAATTTTTCCATAATTTTTTATGCTAAAACAAATGCAAATCTGTATTTTATCTCAGCACACTGTCATAATAAAGTTTTTACATTTATGATATTGAACCAAGAGATGAATTCATAGACAACGGTGAGGAAAGTTCATTTTTCTCCTATTATAGTCGATATTTGAAACTCTCCAGCGATTTTATGGGTAGTAGTATCACCAGCTTCGCTTTTGCAGAATAGCTGGCGATGAAAACATTTTTATTCATTACAAAATAATTGATAATAAATTAATACTGTCTAAGCGTATTTAGCGATTTATCTTTCAATATATCATCAAGGTTAATTGATATATTCCCGCATTTAAAGCACAAACGAAGATACCGTAGAAACGTACTGTTGTTAATATTATTCATAGTAATACCTTGCCATAATTTTAATCAACTCGTTTCTTTACTTTAGTGAGAAGGAATAGTGATAATACCTTAAAGTAGACTAACAGTCTAATACATATAGAAATAATTGTATTACCAGTTAACGATCAATCTTCTAAGAGTACTGTAAACACCTACTGTCTACAAATGCTGAATATAAGATTGATTTGCTGTAAATAGAAGAGAAAGACACTTAAGGCATAATAGCTCATAACATTAATTCATCCATATTAACTTCTTCTTTTTTATCTTCATATGATTCTGTGACTGTCACTTCATTAACGTCAGGAGCTAAAATGGCATAAAAATTAAAGTTGTGAGATTAAAAAAAGGATCTCAAATTCTGTAATTACATTAATATCGTCAATTTTAAGAAGAATTTGCAAGAAACTTTAATGCGAAAGTACTGAAACTCTTTATGAATTACTATGTATCTCGTAGCCAGAAGATATTGCTTGTAGTAAAGATTATTTTGTGGCTCAATCTTTGTAATGAATCTACAGTACATACATACTCATTGCCTCTACATAGCAACACTAATCGTAAAGGCATAAATATACATGCAACTGCAATTTCCGTTGACAATATGAAGGAATAAAAAATTACTCCAATCGCGATTTTTCACAGATCAAATTTTTCCAAGCGTCAACGATAGTAAAAATAAGTTTCGGCATGGTAATGCCTATTTAGCGAGTAGCATGCTCGCTCATTATACTATGCCCGACATCATCTACTTATTTTACTAATCCGAGAGGAATAGGATCGCTAGCCTTTTAAATTGGCATATCCACAATATTTTAACTCGTATATACGGCATAAATATGCCAAAATTTTGATTAAAGTAGAGCATATTAGCCCACTGCGATTCCTAAACTCACTAGATATAACTGAAATTTATCCGTAAAGACAACCGGATTTCTAAATGATCAATACGAAGACTTGTATATGAAATCGAAGGTAATAAAATTGAATGGTATAAAGGGAATTATTCATGTAGTAAGATATGCCGAGTACGTGTTCTAGTTGGAGAATATGTGTGAATTACATTATTTGACGTAGGAATAATTTACTTTACCTGGTACTACCATCACAAGACTGCGAACACCATAATGTTCATCGGCTTTTTGCCCTAAATAGACCATGTAATAATCTAATGATTCACTTGCTGACTGTATCTGATTTTTAAAGTGACGATCAGCTCGACGTCGATTAGTTTCTGTTCCTAAACCGAATTGATAAATAATTCCAAGATGATAATGCTGTAATACATAGACGCTGTGATTATCGAGAGCAAGTTGAAAATATTTGTTAGTTTTGTTGATTTGAAATAATCGTTTTTTGGATTCTTTGTGATATAATTTACCCATCAAGTAATAAGCATAAGGGCAAGGCATCGCTTGCTTATACAGCTTGGCTGCAATATCTTTACGATGTGTTATTTTTTTTATTAATTTTCCAATTTGACAGTAAAAAAGTGGCTCTTCATAGTGTTGTGTGGCATAAGCTAGATAATGGCAAGCCTTGACCATGTTAACATGGCATCCAATACCATTTTTATATATTAAAGCTAATGCAATCGATGCTTTAGCTAATCCATCTCCCATACGGAAATCTCGAGAAACGATAGCTCGATTTAAATAACTGATAGCAATATCATAATCACGTTCAACGCTATAGCCGCACAAGTAGGCAACAGCTAAATCATAACATGTTCTAGCAAAGCTATAGCGGAAGGATTTTTGTAACATTTCAAAACGATTTATTATATCATTTATATCGCTATCATCGCATAATGTGACAACATCATGTTGAGCTAACGCATGGCCATTTTTAGCTGCTAAAAGTAAATAACGCTTATGTAAAATTCTGTCTTGTTGAATGCCTTGTTTTACGTTATAAATCCATCGTGATAAATTGAAATAGCCAGAAGGTTCTTCATGATCGCCAGCTTTTTCAAAATATTCTCGTGCTCGTGTGTACTCATCATCATTTTTCTTGTTATAATAATTGAACTTAAATGTTAGATAACCTAACTGATTGTAGATTCTTCCATAATACTGTTGTGGGCTACAATCGACTTTCTCAAAATCATATTGATTATCATCATAGTAACTGCTTGCTCTCTGATGCAATATTAAATCCGATTGGCGACATAGTGCACTATAGTAGGAATGGATTTGTTGACGCCATTCTGGAAGTTTGCTATAATTTGACCATAAGCAGCGATCGGCGTCAGAATAAGCTTCGCCTTGTGCAGCCGATGTGATATACATTCGTACTCGCAATTCGATTAATTCCCTTTTATCCATAACACAAGCATATTGACCATGATTGGCCTCATCCCGACTGCAACATAGTTGACAAATATGATATTGGGCTGATGGATGATTTAATTTAGCTGCTTGACTATAATGGATAAATGCTTGATTGAAATCTTTTGAAACTCTTCCTAAACCAAACTGATAGATATAACCTAATTCGAAATGAGAATGGGCGTCATTACTTGCTTGAATTCTCTCCTTATACAACTGTATCATTTGATCGTATAATTCGTTGTTAATTTTTTCCCTAGTTAAATGTTTCAAAAGTTGATTAATGTCTTTCTTTTTCCCGTAATGAAGGATAGTTTTTCGTAACTCTTCCATGGCTTAAAGGATAGACTATTTCGATGATCAAGTTGATATGTGCTTGATATCAGTAAACTGTGCCTGCAGTTGGGTAAGAATGGATAGTTATTGCCCTGCCCTAAGGAATGCATAGCGTATTTATGTACAAATATAAGGATTGAATGCCTAAGCAATTATTTCAGTAACAGCTGGATATTATTGATGTTGTTATTGCGTCTGGTTATTTTCAAAGAATGCCCATATGCAATTAAATGTCAGTGATATTTGACGTTTTTAAGGCCGCTAATTAAAATAATGTTAAGACAGGATTGGATCCTTAATTCATCAATCTTACTCACATAAAATAAGATTTTCTTAATTGCAGGACCTAGGTAGTAAATTCTCAATATTACTTACGACTGAGCAAGGTTATAAATTCTTGGCAAGTACAGTAATATAAATATTGTCCTACGAATCTATAGAGAATAGAAAAAAAAGGTCTTAAGAGTAAAGATATGACGTATAATTCTCAAGCATTTATTAAGCCAAGCCCAATTAATGTACAATACTGATCCTTGAAGTCATTTCCATCATAATACTACAATATATTATAGATTAGAAAAACAGGCTGGCAATGAGTGGCTCCAACGAACCCCCTGGAAAGAATGAATTCTTATTTTGGTGCCTTAATCGAAGAGAAACAAAAAGCATCTTCATCAGGTGACAGCCAACTATGTCTTAGTTATAATGATATATTAACCTATTGCTGATTATAGGAGAAGATAGGGATACTTGATTGTTAGGTAGAATATGCTCCCTCCCTACCTTAATTAATCATAGCGGTATTGAATCATCCATAGCTTGATGATTAAAGCGTCGGTAAGGCTTTCATATATGTCTTAGTTTCATTTTACTTACGTGTCTGCCATCAAATATAGTGGATCAAGATTGAAGTCATTCATATGCCGTATGAGAAAAGAGAAATGAAAGCAATACCGATCAATGAATCTCTTCTTTCAAGAATTTATTGGAGATTAACTGTAGTAGTACCGGAACGCCTACTTTCTAGCAGATTAGAATCATTTAACAACGCTTTTATTTCTGATAAAAGATTGATTTGAAATTTATTACGTATCCTTATAACTATGTCTGTAGTCGCTACTATACCGGCATTTACTTCAATGTTTTTAACATCGATGCCGAAAGAACAACACGTATTTGTTTTTTTAACATATCGAGTGTTATGCAGTAGAAATAAATTGGAAGTAAGATTTTTGCTGCCATTTTAGGTCAAAAAATAGAATTTAAGAATTTATCCGCAATAGCTGCGGCTATATCAAAAGTTATTATATCTCAGTCCACAAAATTCTATGAATATGGCGATTAAATACTCATATGCTTTCAATTACGCATACCAATTGTCGAATAGATTATCTAATAATGACCATAAGACAAACTGGGATATATAATGTCATTTAAAAATACGATTGAAAGGAAAGCTTATTATATGTTAAAGTTAGAAGTTTATATAATTTTAATCAGTGCCACCACCACAGTACTGAAACTGTTCTAATACCATGTTCATTTCACTGCTATGTACGCGTATACTCCATTTTCAGGGATTGTGCTACGGTCTGAAATAGTTTAGTAACACTTTGAGGTATTTTATATATTTAAATTGAATTCCATAGTTAATGTTACTGAGGGGTTGAAATTTTTCTGAAAGGTAAGATATTTCAAGTAGCTATACGATAGTGTACGGTATTATTACAAAATCAAGATTCGAAATGCTAAAGAGCACGTCGAAGAATCTGTGGCTCAATTATCCACTTCGATATTATTTTGCCACAAGGCTCCAACTTCTAACAAGTATCTCATCATCAAAGAACCACGTTAAATTGATGTCAGCAGCAATACTAAACCACAAATACAAATTCTATTGCATACTAGCCAGTGCATAACTTACCCATATGAATATTATAGTTATATAAATGATATTATAAAATATGCGATTATTAACACTGAAATATTCAAAACGGTATGGAATACGAGTATAGTAAATTAGTCATTATATAGAATTATTTAGTAACAAGTGTTCGAGGGGATGTATGCTTACGCTTAATAACAACGATTACGACATATAATAAAATGTAATCGTACAATAAGGCTATATCCGATTTAATGTCCGGTAAAAAATTGTGTGTCATCAGCCGAATTAACCTATGATAAAATTATTACTGACACGATATTAGAACCTTAATAAATTGCGATATAGTACTGCTTACAAGTACTTTATTGTATACTCGTATACTACTGAATACTGTATGCCACCAGAATATGAAATCTCGCTTATAAATCAGCTAAAAAATTACTTATAGATTTAATGTACACAGCTGTAATGCAGCCCCAAATATAGCTTAGATTACTATTATAAGACCGTACGAGAATAACTTAACTTGTAAGCTAATGCTTTAAATAGACGCGCGAATTATGAATAGATTGCGCGATGGTAAATTTAGATCTGATCTTGCGACTTAATGGGCAAGATAAGATTTGTTACAGTAAAAGCATTCTGTAACTAATCGTATATAAATCGTGAATTTTGCTGTAATAAGTAGATTGTCAGATAGTCAGATAGTCCTTGGTAGTTAGATGAACCTAACTTCTGTAATAAAGTGAAATTTGCAAAGAAACTGCAGTTCTTGATTTATTGTTTTGAAGATCACTTTATCACAACAGCAAAGCCTACTGGCTAATAACGTTTATTTAAAATATTTCTCTTTCTTTTTCCTACGTTATTATCATACATGTAATATATACCATTCATTGATCTTAACGTTACCATATCTGCCTGGCGATCATGATTAATAGCATTACATGCAGTATTAATACTATCTCTGCTGCTTTCTGTAGTATAAATTTTAAATATAACCGAAAACTACAGCGCTTAATACAATGTCTTATATCTGCAATATTATACCCGATATTATGTGATATAGAAACCGTATTTTATAGATCTTACAAGCTGACGTCGATCCTATCATGAAGTAGTCATTTAGGTATCCATGGAAACAGGTCTAATAGCTATTTCTATTTTGATGAACTTAAATTAATTCCAAATCACTTTATCGCCTTGATTATGTCATACTAGAGCGGTTATGAATTCTAATAGGCTAAGAAATGTTTATTTATTTAATATAGAATCATTGTGACTATGAAACAATGAAGATTTCCCATGATGCTCGAACAAAAATTCTTTCCTAGCTACTTTAATCTCCTGTCCGATACTAAATTACGTAATGGAATAGGGGCAGGTTAATGGTACTGTATAGTTTAAATTTTATTGAGAGTCTATTTAGAACACCAATTAATTATTCTACAAGTCTCGTGGCCTTCTTAGAATCCACTACTAACAAAAGAGTTTCCAGTAGTATTGCTACTACATGTATTACAGCGGCCTACAAATGATACAAAGCTCTGAGTCTTGATGCTTTTCGTGTATCGCACAGCATTTTCTCAGGTTTGATTTACAAGTCTTTTCCCTCTTTTTCACACATTCTTTCACTTCATTTTCATATTCTGTGAATAAACTCCTTGGCTCTTTATTGGATATAATAACATACGAATACTATGGATCCATCACCTATTCGCCCAGTTCCAGAACATACCGCTGTGCTAATCGGTGTTGTTCATATCGTCAATAGTGTTACATCCGCTTTAATGGGGATTCTAGATTTATCATTATCCTATATTACGGACTATAACTACATTTATATTGCAGCCCCAATATGGTCCGGAATTTTCGTAAGTAGGAAGAAATAACTTAAGTTATCTGATCCATGAGCTTTCATATTATAGAATAAGGCATAAGGGATCAGGTATCTAATCTTAAAAAGTTTCTTTTTATTTAATGAAAAGGGTTAAGGTTATTCAACTATGTATAGATGTGCCAGCTAACAAGAATTCTTGTTTAATACCAGTATCTCATGGCCGGAATCTTTGCAATTGTGAGCCGAAAAACAAGAAACATCCATTTGGTAAATAAATAATGTAATTGATAATTTGCTTAGCGTAAGGAAAAGTAGGTATATTGCTAGCTAAATTAAATGTAATCCTATTTTCTATTGATTGATATTAGCATAGATTTGTATTAAAGCGTATAGGCTCGGTATAAATTTTAACCAGTTGTACGATTTTATAGAAATTGATTTTAACCAATATTGAATCGATATTTTATTTCTTCTAGGTTAATAGTTTCTTCGCATTCTCGCTCTTATCCACCGTTTGTGCTCTGACCTCCACCGTTCTTTTCACTTACGGTAGAGCGAATTCTACGCCTGATAGCTATCCAATTGCAATGGTTGGTATCCCGATTTCGGTAATAGCCTTCGTTTTTGGAATATGTGGCACTGTCATTGCAGGTTACGGAATGAATTGCGACTGCGGTGCTAATTCTTCTCAACTTACTGGCCAATTTATTTACACAAGGGACGTATTAAATCATCCTGACCAGGTAAATTAGAAAATAAACTAAGTCGAATAAAAAATAGAATATTCCAATTTCTCTAGAATTATAGTTAAGCATATAACTCCAGCAGTTCTTTATGAAATATCAAAATAACCTTGAATATTTATTTGAAAGGTTCAAGATCGTTCTAAAATATTTTATATCTACTTTATTTCAAATCAGTAGTAATATCTATAATTTTATTTCTTATTTACAGCCTATTCAAGTGGTTCATGGAGCATATCCAGTACCGACTTTGAACGTTGGAAAAGATGGCCGTATCGGTAAGTTGGCAATTTGTAACGCTATTGACTACCAAATCTAAATCCATCTAATAAGTATTGACCATCACGATCTTATTGTAGTCCAAAGTCCAATATCCTATCCTGTTGGATATGGAAATCAGCCACAAGACCTAAATCCGCCTATAATTGGACAAAACTCTTCTTCCATGCTACCTACAACTATGCATGAACCCCTATTGCCTAGCAATCAAAATTGAAATCTATCTCAATAATTATGACTGCAGATTGCTTGATAATGTACTTTTCAATCATTTTAGTAGCAACAGCAATTCCTCACAACCATTTGGTTCTAAATTGGAAATTAAATATTGTCCGTTCATATCCTAAAATATTTTATTTTATGATTTTAAAATTAGATTAAATTTATTTAATGTTTATCTGATATTTTTAATGTAAAAGAAAGAAGTAAGATATATTTTACCAGCATAAGTGCGTTATCTTGTTCATGTTTGTTCTTGCATTTGGTATATTCCGAAATTCGATTCTGCTTACAGTGCTTTTACTCAGGGATGTCATATCGGAGCAAATTCCTTTTCATAGCTCTAAGATTTTTACTGCTATATGTTGAAAGAAATTGTAAAGAAGGGTCTGCAATGTTATCATTGCTTGTATGGTGATACTCAATCTTTGTGTATGCTATTACTGAAGTCGTATATAAGTTAGGAATGTGCACTATAGCTTTATCATAAAATTAATTTAGAAGCAAAGGATAGAGTATATTAATATAGTACAGTAGCAAAAATTATAATACATGAAATTATAGTGAGATCAGGTAGTAGAATTATAAAATTCCTGTGTAATTTAATTGAGATCTTCTGTATGCGAAGATATATCTATCAAGTTATTTTTAATCTATTTCTAACTCTTATAAAGAACAATATCGTAGAATTGCATTCTAGTAGAAGTAAAATAATAAAACCGAGGTATAATTGATTTAAACCTTGATTATGTAGAGAAATATGCATAATTCTTATTAGCCTATTCCTAAGTGTGAATAAGGAATGCTATTCCTAAATTATATTCCATTAGTAATAGAATTATAACGTGCAACATCTTCATTAAACCATGCGACCGTAACAGCGGAATTATAAAACTATCACATATTGGGTTCAGACCATCTTTATATGAAAAAGTAATTATACTGTAAATTAGTTCCTAGTCTACTCCTACAGTCCTTAAAAAAATAAAGTACCTGAATTGTGCTACATATGATATCAGTAAAATTATAAAATTACTGTATCATTATTTTAATCAGACTTTCTCTCTATGCCGAAATTCTTTCAATTTATTCGCGTCTATATTCACGCCTAGTATATATATATATCAATAAAGCCTGTGAATCCTATTGCACTAGCACCGGATCCTTAATTAATGTCAAGAATTGAATATATTTGATGAGGTTTTATTATATGTGTCAAAGTTAAGGTAGTATTAGTATAGTTGATGTCAATAGAATTTGAGAGTTTTAATCTTAATTTTATTCATTAATTTATATTATAGGCACATGGACCAGCTAATTAGTAACTGGCCAATTGTGAAGCAATAGGTAATAAAATCATAACTCGACTCTCGCTATTAATCAAAGTATCATGAAAGCTTGTAATTCAGACCCCATAGCAACCCTAATGGTATTTAGTCTTCGTTTGCTATTAATTGCTGCAAATGTTAGCACTATTACCTTATTCATTATTATTACATGGCAACTTTCGTTTAGTTTCCATCATTTATGAAAAACTACAAATAAATGAGTTCTAACTCAGTGTGTTCCTACAATTGTAAGAAGGTAATTGCTGATCTAGCTAGCTGAACACATGCAGTATAATATGATTATATTACTTCGTAACTATTTATGATATCTCTGATTTCGGAATAAATTGATTTTTATTCCATTGTTGTAATTGTAATATGATGCAGTTATCCTCTTAAAATCCTTCTGTCAAGCATTTGCTAGTAAGCAAGTGTAGCCGTTACACTTTGAGACTGCGACTTAGGCGGAAGCATCTTTTGCAATCATACCAAAATTAACAAATTTTTGACCTTAGATATGAAATTGAATTGATTGCTTGATCGAAAAAAATTGATATAATAACGAAAGCCTATAGCTTACAGCACATTCAGCAATTTGAGATTGGCTTCAGGGTTGATCTATTTAAAAGCAGGGTTTTAAAGAAGGTCTGGTTTTGAAGCTACCACGATAGCTGAAAAAAAAAATGGTATAATTTCTAAAACCAGCAGATTAAGCCATGTGAGATTAGCTTCAGAATTGATGTATTTAAATGTAGGATTTTTAAGAGGTTAGGGTTATAGACTTTGAAGCTATTGCGCTGTCTGAAAAGGTACATAATATAATATCTATAATCTATAGCTTACAGCACATTAAGTCACAATATCTAAAATCTATAGCTTATAGCCAATTAAGTCAATTGAGATTGGCTTTAGGGTTGATTTAAAAGGAAGATTTTAAAGAGGACCCGACTCTAACATTCTTACGGTGGCTAAAATTATAGATACACTATGGAAAACCTGTAGCTTAAAGTATACTGAATCTTTTGAGATTGGCTTTAGGCTTGATCTATTTAAAAGGAGAATTTTAAAGAGGGTCCAGCTTTAAAGTTATTGCAGTGGCTGAAAAAATAATAGAATATGGAAAACCTGTAGCTTACAGCACATTAAGTCATTTGAGATTGGCTTTAGGGTTGATCAAATTTAAAAGCAGGATTTTAAAAGACGCTCCGACTTTGAAGCTATTATCCTACTGGGCTAGCACTATTAGACTATGGCATTCTTCTAATGAATAATATTGTAATTTGCATTACTATAGTTCTTAAAATCCTGACAATAAAGCCTTAATGGAAGGCGGAAGTTTGAATTCTATACATATGGCCAGATAGAATGCTATAAAAAAGTACCAGGATTGACCGGATATGGAATTATTAGCATAGTTTATCTACGCATGCTATACTTTGCGTACTATGTGCTAGCATTAAACTGCAAGTGAATAGCAGCAACTGCTTCTCATCAGAGCGACATCATTTTTTTCCATCAGCGGTCATCTCTGCTTTCTATCGCAACATCTCAATTTGCTTTTATTCCTAGTTGGATTGGAAAACTCATCATGACGAATGCTCTAAGGCCTGGAGGTTTTCGAAGTGTACCTGAACATCATGCGGCACTCTTAGGTACCATTCTCATCACCAATGGCATAATTTCTTTTACCGTTGGAGTCCTGGATCTGTCTTTGTATACTATCTATGCGTATAACTACATTTATGTTGGTGCCCCAATTTGGAGTGGAATTATTGTAAGTTTTATTCTATTTAGGGCCACGAGCAGGATGGAAATTGTTTTCTTTATCTTATCGATCTGAAATTGCTAAATCTTATTACCAGTTCTCATAAGTGCCCAAGGAGAACAATTGCTCTGTTAATTGCTTCGATTACCTGATTAACGTGTTCTTCAGTAATGGCGTAGGATACCAGTTAGTTGATAGAGAGACAAAAAAAAAACTAATTAGACCATTAGAACAAGTGGAGTACTGTTATGGATCATATTGAAATCCACACACTTAGTTCGATGTTAGTATTTCTTCTCCTGGAATAGGATTCATGAGACTACTACTAGCAGTTCCATTTTCAGGGGCACTAGCTTAACTTACCTTAGCAAGAGTTTGTCCCATAGTTTATCCATTAATAACTTTATTACATGTTGATAAGAATACAAGTGCACTGTAAAGAGTTTATAAAAATCCACTTGAACAGCATTCACGTTTTATTCTTTTCCCCTCCACTAACTTTATCTTATATCACGTAAAATGAATTTATAAATTAGCACGCAAATAACCGTAGTAAAACGATCAAGTTGAGTCTCTATCGACTTTGAACACTGGAAATACGATACTACTTGAGGATAGTTAATCTTTTTACACTCAGTCAGCGTTAGGGTTGGAATTAGCCAAAATGAATCTATCGACTTTTACCACTGGAAATACAATACTACTTGAGGATAGTTAATCTTATTACACTCAGTCAGCGTTGGGGTTGAAATTAGCCAAGATAAATCTCTACTGTCATGTATTTCGCTTGATATTGGTTTGTGAAAAGAATTCTGCAAACCATCACTCGTGAATGCATCTAAAAGCCTTCAACTATGGATGCATAAATAAGCGTAGAGGATCGATTTTTTTGCGACTGGAAATAATACTTGAGGATGGTAGATCTTGTTAGAATCTGTCACAGTTGGGGTTAGGATTTGCCTTGGTCAGTCTCTACTGTAGTGTATTTCGCTTGATATTGGCCTGTAAAATGAATTTCGCAAACCATCGCTCGTGCATAGATCTAAAAGTGTTAAGCTATGGACACGTAAATAACCGTAGCGGATCGATCAAGTTGAGTCTCTTTCGATTTTTAGGACTCAAAATACTGCTTGACCACGGTCTATCTTGCTAGGATTAGACATGGCACATACGGCTAGGGTGGAGACTATTAAAGAGAAAGAGAGGGACAGGAAACGCTCGTTCTCGATACGTGCTAATAATATGGAGACTGATTATTTTACTGGCTATTTCAACTGTATCATATATCTACAGTAGTATACTATACTGTTCGCCATTGATATCCAAATTAGCGGCTAGCATACTGCTAAGTACTTCTTCGTTGTCCCTTGGCTAGCCACGGCTCGAATAAGCCTTCGTCCATTTTCTGTTGTAATTCACTTGATATCTTCGATTATTCACTACATTATGTATAGTTATCTAGTAGATCCGATAATAGGCTGATAATTAGAATCATAATTTCAATATTGATTCGTAAATGTCCCAATTTTACGCTACAATATTATTCTAACGCTAACGATGCTTCAAAATCAATAGTACTTCATTGCTGGCATCCTTTCGGCCTGTAGCAGAAAAACAAAAGATATCCATCTTGTAAGTAACCAAATGATATTGGACTCTATCGAATCATTTCAACTCGTTGAATAGTAGTTGTCAATAGCCGGAGAGAATAGGTTAATCTAAAGTATGGCAAGCAATGATGGAATCTTTTATTTTAGGTTAATGCATCCTTTGCATTTTCGCTATTGACCACCATTTGCGCCTTGGTTTCCACCGTTTTATTAACCCTTGGTCGAGCCCAAGATATCCACTACAACAATTATCCTTTAGCCATGGTTGGTATTGCAGTCTCTGTCCTCTCATTTATCTTTGGCTTATGCGGAGCTGTTGTTGCTAGTTATGGCATGGATTGTGATTGCTGTGATTCCTCACAAATTCCTAACGGTCAATATGTCTACTTTGATAATGAAGCCAGTCAATTTGGCCAGGTAGGTTGGATAGTTGATTTAGAATGCACCAACTCTCTTGGGTGTGCGCAAAATCACTTTTAAATCATTTTCTACTTTGATTAAATCTTAGTAAATCATCCATGACAGTGATTCTAAAACTCAGTTTTCTATTACAGATGTTACTCAGGGTTATTCCTATGGTCTAATAGACTTCATTTTGCCTCCTTTTACTTATTTTTTGTTGTAGTCTTCTAGCCATGCACAAAGAATGCAACCACCCCAATCAATGCAATCACCGCAGCAGATACAGCAGACACGGCCGATGCAACCAATGCAATCACCGCAGCAGATACAGCAGACACGGCCGATGCAACCAATGCAACCAATGCAATCAATGCAACCAATGCAAACTGGATCAACTACGCAAACAGGTAAGTAGAAATTACTTTATAATTATAAAATTCTTTTAAGGCTTGCCAATTGAATTCACCTGCTCTTTGATACTCGAAAATCACTTGCCCTTATTCCCAATCAGCTATTGGAAAATTAAAATATTATGTTACGTTATAATATTACAATCCAGATATGCAATAACCAATGCATGATAACCTTTCTAGTTAGTTCTAGCCAGTTTACCATTCTCACAAGATGAAAGTAGAATTGAAATCGATAAAAGCAAATATTTCATTTTCAATCTACGCTAGCATTCTATCATGAGTAGTTTACAGTTGGACAGCGATGAAATGGCATATCAGAATATTTGATTTCAAAATCTGTAGTAGTATTCTGTAATCAGCGAGTTAGAATTTTTACAATAGAAAAGGATAACTTAAGCTACGGTAACGAGAGGATATATCATGATAGCAGTAATTTAGAATTCTTATAACACGAAAGTGCTATTTAAATTATACTAACAAGCGACGATTAAGTTTCAATCTATGTTGGCACCCTGTAATCCGTAGTTTAGAACCTTTATAACCGTAAAATGAACTGGAATTAACACGTTAGCATTAAAATTACAAATGCATTCTAGCACTCTCTCATCAGTAGTTAAGAAATATTACAAAGAGGAAAGTGCATTTATCATCTAAATTAGCATGAGAGCACTTAATTTCCAAATTCATGATGGTGTTCTCTACTGTTAATAATAGTTTAGAATTCCTGCAACAATGAAGAATAGTTGATACATTAACATAAGATGGCGTCAATGAAGAATATATCTTCATTGAGGCTTACATTAATCGATCATGTGGGCATTCAATTCCTTTAATTTCTATTAGAAGATTAAGTCTACTGCAATAGTGTATTGACACTTATCTAAATGGATAACTTTATATCTCTGTAGGACTAGTACAACATCAAAATGAACCTGCTATGGCAGCTAATTCACTACCTATCTCTCAGAATGATGACTCTCAACCTCAGATATCGTAAAGAATTCATTCTTTTAAGTGTGAATGACTTCTAGTAGAATGTAGAAATAGAGCTATTGGACTACTGGAGTGATTAATTGATAATTTTATGTCGACGAATAACAGTTCTATAGTTGTAGATGAAATGAACGATGTTTCAAGGTTAGGTACTAGCTCTGTTTGGCCACATAGGATGCGGTTGGTAGTACTCTCACTAAGTTATCCATCATGGCATTATAAGAAAAGTTGAGTACAATTTTTAAGCTTTTTCATGAATTATCCTAATCTACTGTATCCGTGTTTTTTTGGTCGAGTATTCGTTGTGATAAATAAAGTTTATGAAACCTAAGCTGGCTTTCTATCAATATAATAGGTTAAGCTGTGTGTTAAAATAATTTTAAAAGGCTTAGCTTGTAGAATTCCCTCTATGGGAACAAATTTTAATAACTCACTTGTATAGTGGGAGCTATAGCCATGGATCTACATCGATTAGATTTGATTCAACGTTAATCAAGTAGATGAGAAAGCATAACTACTTGTTGTATCGTCAGTAAATAACTAAAAGTTGCGAGTACTATTATTATTCTATCAACTGCTTGGAATAGTAGACTATACCTATACCGGAAATATGATTGCATTCGTGTGATTTCAGAACCAAAGATTATTATCATGCTGGTGTTTTATAAGCCGTTCACTAATAGAATTCAGCAACTCGAATTAGTTATAGACTATAAGATAAAGTTATCAGTAGTCTTGGGATAATATCTAGGGTACTTTACGTGTAGTCCCAAGTTAAATCGCTTAAACGATTCCTTTTAATGTCGTATAATAGGTATTATATAACGAGGAGATCATTCTAGAAAACAGAGTGTCTAATGGCCGGTATAATATAGTGGAAATAAAAAAAGTTTATATGCCTCTATACCATATCAAATGAACAAAAATGAATCAACAATTCTGTTTACGTAGAGTAAGAAATAATTTTAAAGAGAGCCTTTCAATTACTTCTCTTCCTGTCAACCTGTAAGATTTTAAAATTGATATATTGAAGGTAAACGATAGAGAGGAATTGATCAGTTCTGCTGATTATCTTAAAATGCTTGAATAGTAGATCCACAGTTACGATAATAATATACCGATTTTAAATAGATGCAGGAATTTCAGTAATTACAATTGTCTATGTTAAGAATAATATAAGCAAGTAACGAAAAAATGTTGTCATTGTCTTCTAATTGAACTATACCATAGTAACTAACAATTCATGGCTTTATTTATATTTCATTTAATGAATATTAATGCTGAATAATTTGGTATGGAGGTAGGTTGCTTTAACACACTATCAACCACCATTCCAATATAATGGAGTGTAAATAATGTACAAAAATATGTAACATAAGCGTGAATAGATTGAATTTTAATTATTATTTTGTTATTACAAGATAAATTAGAACTAATTAGGGTTCTAGAATTACTCATAGTCATTTTTTAGCTGAGTTAAATCATTGAAAAAAATATTGAAGCATGATTACTGCTATTTTCAGAAAATACCAGGGGATAACGATGAGGGCTATTTAACAACCTAGTATAAGATCGATAATCCTATTCTTATAAAATTCAAGTAATATTTACAATCATACATGAGACCCTATTAACGGGCAATAATTAATATAGTTCAAGGGAATTCCGGATGATGCATGATTGTTAACATGATAACTGCGTTTAACAATCTAGTATTGGCTAGGTAAGTTATTCCTACGAATTGATAGTTAGAGACACATTTACTGAAGCCATAATATTATAATTAGTCTACTTTATTTAACCGACTAATGTTGCTACGATAAAGCTATTCCTGCGAACTTTCAATCAAAGATGAGACCCGTTTAATGGAGTAACAATCATTTTAATGATATTATCGGCAACAATGCAAGATTGCTCACGCTATGATTGATCAATTTACCCTTCGTATTTAGCAATCTGGTATTGACTCGATAAAGTCATTACCATGAAATCAGGGCAGTATTGATGGTCAAAAATTTGGTTTATTTAACGAATCAATAATTAATTACTGAAATAATAAACAATTGCTAAATTATAGTTGAACACTGTTTGATGTATTGCATGGGTCGTTATATGACAATTAAACGTAGATTTTGACGAGTAATTAAGCCAATGATACTTTTACAGTTGTAGTTAAGCTGGAAGTAGTACGTATGGCCTTCGATAGTAAAATTAATTCTAAAGCAAAATTAAATTGACTCCTCCTCCATTTGCTGCTATGCTATAAAGTTTCCTTCCAAGGAATGAAACTAAAACTTGGTATAATCATTAGAGAATTCTGGTGTCTTCTAATGTTTATTTTTTGTGGTCCATTAATTCTACTTATACTTGGATGATTAATGGAAAGAATTACCTCAACATGAATATAATTATTAACACTTGCTATTATTATAATCCATTCATCCTAGATATAGATTAGTGCTACGAATTAATTTATTTAAAACATTTATTACGATTTTTTTACCACTGATCAGAATGTTGTAATATGTGATGTTATACGGCAAAATAGTCGATTAATTGCTAAGTCTCTGTAAAAAAATTATCTACGCAAATCTTAAAAAGTACTCATTGCTTAATTATTATTGTCTTTCAGAGATGAATCAAGATATATCAATATTGCACGCTTATGTATAATAACCAATTTCGGACATAACGTTAATACAAATATCTCCAAGCACGACATACTGTATATCTAAAAACTAAAAGATATTGAACGGCAATCCAGTGGTAAATTGCCTCACAGTCGTATTGCAATAAATTTTAACTTTGTATAATAATGACTAATTTTAGTCTAGGATTATATATTAAAAAGACCGCACTAATGCGATTATCGTATTAGCATTACTTTCTTGGCTTGTAGTATATCATGATAGACGAAATGTAAGATCAATTTATTAAATGCGAAAAATTTTCCTAGTACTCGTATTTTATAGATAGGTAAATGACGTAGCAATAGGGAATACAGATATTTCAATAGAAATAGACGTCTAAACAAAGAGATCTTTTACAACTAATGAGTTAAACATGTGTATATGTTAAAAGCTGACGTATAAAAAATATGATGAAATCTTACGCCTGACTATGGAATACGCGTAAAATTTTTGATATCCAAATCAGCAACGCTAGTATAGCATTTAATAGTTCGTCTACACCGTTAATGCAAAGTGAAACCATTAATTTTCGTTTTCGCCTGGCTTACGACCTAATAGTATGAAAATAGGGAAGGTATACTCGATAGTGTCATTTCCTGAGGCTCGCTGCAAAGCTTCCAACATTCTGTAGTGGTTAGATCAAATAAATATGATTGATACATCAGTATCATTTTGTCAAAGAAGGTTAAAAATGATATTTTATTAATTGCCATAAAATGCTATAACCTAGCTTTGACATCAAGCAAGGGATCATCAGAGTTCTTTTGTAGGTAAGCACGATACGCTGACCAAGAGCTTAAATAACCAATATAGCTATCTAAGCTCATACTGCCTTCTATAGTTATGGTGTCAATTCTATTGTCATAGTGGCGAAGAAAAATTAGAAACTATAGTATCCAACTTTATAGGAGATGACTCCTTCTTTTCAAGTTGGTCATTTCGAAATTTTTATAAAAACTTTCATATTGAAGGGTGATTAAAATTTTTCAGTATTTATATCTAAACGGATACTCTATAGGGAGCTTATTAAATGGTGTAGTCCATTGCACATTTGAAATTGAAGGACTTTACAAAATAGTGATAGAAAGTTATCATCTGTATATGCGTCTATCATCCATTTTACTATGAACTTGATATATTTCTGAAGATGTATCAATAAGAAAGAACGTTAACTTACCTCATCTGGTCAGTGTACGGTAGCGTGATATGGCGATACAAGTTATCAATATACCATCTTCTATCCGACCAGTAACCTTTCAGTGTACCTTGATAGAACTTGGAGTCAATTAAAAATTGATATAAATTGAATCGTTATGATATTTTCGTCAGCGCAGCATTCCATCTACTATAAATATATCAAAAATTGTCGTCTATTTCTATTCATTTTTATAGAAATAATGCACCCTGACAGCTTAGTCCTATAGCCTTGATGATGAAGTTGCAGTCATTAAGTATTAGTTTTATACAGTAGTTGAAGTCTTGTTCAGCAAGTAGGCAATGCATTATACTATCACAGAATAAAAATAACGTAATTTGAGCTACATCGGCAGACAAATTATTTTATTGAAGTCTAAATGCTTGAACAGGTTGACTCCATTATGGTATTTTAGGCTAACGCGTAGTAAAATTAAACATGGCCTCTATCATGGATATTGCATCTTTCCATTGACTTTATGACAACTGTACCTAGCTGTCGTAGGATAATTACTACTGTAAGTTGTGCTGTGCAACAGGCTACGGTACTCGTGGGTAGATTCTGAGCTTTCCACAGGCTACTAAGACTATGAATGAATGGAGAGCACATACAGTACAGTATTGCACTCATCGAAGACTTTGACATTGGTATCAGTCCAGCAGTTGGATGGGAATTGCTATTGGAAGTCCATTTCTACCTGAAAAATAATCAACCTAATTTCTCATCTCTCTGATTGTGTAACTGTATTAATCTGTCGTATATTTTATGTTATTGAAAACCTCTCTATGTCTACAGCGGTAGGTAATGTTAAGCAATGGCAGTTGGATTAGCCTCTTTGCTCGTTGACATCGTGATTGATAGCATGATAGGAAAATGTATTCCCTCAATGATACTCATATTGATCGATAATCGTATTCTACTGCATGAGTACTTTTATTTGGACAAGGTTATTGATGGGTTGAAGCTAATTTGGTACTTTTTTAACGAGATGGAGTGAGAAAGCAATAACTGTGTATATTTAGGCATCTCGTGATCAGCCAGCATAGTCCGTTGGCAATGGATTGTCATCAACTTACATCATGGCAAATTTTGGTCACTTCATGGTTGTTTGTAATGATGGAGTTGCCATAACCATATAAAGCTAAGCAACCCGTACCAGGCTTGAGTACACGATCTGCCTCAGCGAAAAATTTCTTCTCATCGAGCCAATGGAATGATTGTGCACATGTCAGTAAATCAACACTGTTGGAATGACAAGGTAACTGTTCGCCGGAACCGACTTGCAATGTGACATTCGCATTTTCTTTTTTTTCATTGCCTTGTTGGATTTGACCTTGGCTAGGATCAAGACCGATTACTTGAGTAAAATAGCGAGCTAATGGTTTGGTACTTTGGCCTGAGCCGCAGCCGACATCGACAGCTAAGTCATATTTTACTCGATCGTCTTTCCCTGTTAAAAATTGCAAGATTTGCTCATAGACTTCTGCAGGATAGGTCGGCCTATACCTGGCATAAGCTTTAGCATGATCTACTCCAGAAAATAATTTAGTATAGCGCGACATGATATCATTCATTTAGTCATCATGGAGAAGCACTCTTGAGATAGCGTTACCACTCATCCACTTCTTGTCAAGAACAAATAGATAAAATGCGGAATCCAACTCGTTTATTGGCTAAGTCGAGGTAATCCTTATGTCCAGCTTTGCTTGCAGGCAGCTTTGCATCACCAAAGAGAGCTGAGCTCAGAAGGATTTGTTGACAATCTCGAGTAGCGCTGGCTGGGCATTTATACCTTTCGACACGGTACGGTACGATACGATGCGGTACGGTACGATACGATGCGGTACGATACGATGCGGTACAGTACGCTAGAGACCCTTCGAGACCCCTTTTAGAGTCTCTAGTGTCCAGTACAGTACTAGTACTGTACGTCGTGATTCATTTCCTACTGTACTCGATTCCGAAAAATGGAATAAAATACTTCAATATATCAATTCATTTTATGTAGAATTGGATATCAATCGATAGAACAAGATTGTGTGGATTTTGTGGTAAAAATGACGCATTGAATAGTCCATTCTGCACCGATTGATCTCCTCTGCTGTACTGTACTGTCGATGGCAATTGTTCGGAGTGTCTGGTGTACAGTGTACAGTACCATGCTTACAGTATACTGTACTGTAGATGATGGGATGATTTCAAATTGCATCATGTGCAAGCTCGATTTCGCTGGTCATGTTAGCGTACTCTATTACTGTTACCGTATACTACACTACCGAAAACCAACTGGCTGACCTTGATTTCAGCCTCGGACAACGGACAAGAAGAAGGATTTTCCTCTTGCAAGGCGTTGAATAAGAAAGTGGTGGCCATCATCAATCATCTACTCCACTTGAGAAGGAGTAGTTTATCCATCATAGATGTACTCTCCAATGGACATGCATTGTATAAGTGTCTAGACTCTCTTCTATCGACAAATCGCAAGCTGTATCAAGGGCTAGTCAATAGAGAGAGAGAGAGAGGCACTACCGATGACCAACGCCATGGCCAAACAAGATTGCAGGCCGGTGATTTGGACCTGGTCAACGGATCATTTTGAATCATCATCACAAGAAGAAATGGTAGAACTTCTACTGTAGAAGCATACTATGTCCTGCAGGCAACAATATTGACTTGCCTGCCAACAACTGATGAAAATAAGCATCCTATTATAGTGTGTTAGTACAGATTACACTAATATAGAAATGAATGATGCAGTAGTATTCTACTGCATTAGGCTGAAAGTCACAGCCGCAGTCCGGCTGTATACTGCCCACTGTCCTGTAATAAAGGGTAACCCCCCCGGATGGTCCAACGGACCCCGTGTCGCCTGGTAGTGGGTTTCCACACGGTGGACACTACTCCAGTTGAGACTAGTCTACCACACCTCTTGACCTAGACAGTACCCTACTCGCTTACCTTGCCCCTCCATCCATCCCCTGGTTGATTCTGACACTACCCAGGGTGTTGCTACGCGGGTCCCAACTGGTCGCTTGCCAATGTTGACGCTTGCATACTACCGCAGCCATCTAGCTTAGCTGGGGATACAATTCCTTCCTCAACTTGTCCAAGCTCTCCATCAAGGCCTAAGAACTAATTGAAACGAGTCTTAATTTGCCTTTTTTCATGTCTTATTGATTGCTATTGGTGTGATCGATTTCCTGCTCATATCCAATCATCAATAGGACAAGTCTTGATTGGCCAGTTTGCAGCTTTTTCACCGCGCTCCATCATCGCCCTTGTCTAGCTAAAAGTTGAAAGCTGGCCAATAACCCTTTTGCGCCTTCCATCAGCTCAATCGATCTTCATCATCGCTATTGATCGAGCTAATTCAACCAGTTTATCCGATGAGAATGAAATCGATTGGAAGAATGATAGTGGCAGCACTTTATCGACTATGGTGTTTTATACTCTGTATATGCAGTAAAATTTTTAAGACGGTAAGTTCGATTTGTTCCATCTTTTGGCTACACTCTTTTTTTCCCCTCCATTCTTGCTTGTACACATAAGGTGATTGCGGGGAAGGGATCACGATGGGTAGTTTTCATCATGGCTTCAGGAAAGGAGTGGATGCCTTTTTTTGTTGTTGTGCCACTTATTGCCATCCTTTTTTCTCATCATCATAGTCGTCATATTGCTTGATTCAACTATTTTCAACTCCTTTCCAGTGCAGTCATCGCTGTTGACTTTAGCCCATCATGTCCATGACTGATAAGACAAGCTTATCATCATACCATGGCCAAGAGTAAAAAAAAATCAGTTTCATTTGAAAATAGTCTCTTGATGGACAGTGGATAGGATAATTTCATTTTTAAGTTCTATTCCTACAAGAGTAGACAAGGGAGTCAACGCAGTGATGATGAAGAGGGGGCCACCCATACAGATTGTAAAATTGGCCAAGTCTTCCCAACCATGGATTCATCATCGAAGCGCCTTTTCAACACGATGATTTTTCTCCTTGTTGGATCATCTTCCATAGCATAGTCGCAGAAATGGATCCATGACCAATGGTTAAACTATTGCAAATGTTGCTTGCCATCGATAAACACAAGATTCAGATATCAATTCAACCTGACTCCCTCGTAGAAGGATGTTTCAAGTGAAAAATGCGTGGAAAACAAATCTTACTTGCGCTGCTACTTTACCCCATGGATGAATGAAACAGCACTCATCCTTCATAACTAGTCTTCAATCTCTCTTTAGTCAGCGTTTTCATCTTCAACACTGTAAACAAACATAAAAAAATTGTCTGTTTATCATTCTCCATTTCCACTTCCTTCCCCCCTCTTAAAGCATCGGCTAACCTAATGGAAAGACCAGTCTCTATTTCATTCGTCCGTTGAACTTTTATCTTGATGGCAATAACATGTGCCATGATTGGATGATTGAAATTAGGCGATCGCTAGTGGATCATTGCCACATTCAATCGATCAAACATGGATGATGATCATAATTTCAAGTCTTTATTCCATCATCACATCGGATACAAGTGTATGAAAATCTCCCAGTCATGGAGTGATGATGATAGGCAATCATGAACGGATACTACCTCGTAAATTGCCCCAATAACAATGTCAATTCATTACTTAACCCTTACATTGAAAATTTGATTGATGTTGTACTACCGTTTAAATCAACATTTACAGCGATTAAGATCTTTAATCAATTCATTGGTCTATTCCATTAGTTGATCATTATTTCCCCCCCCCCCCTAACTATAGACATGGCAAGAGCATAGCGAGTGATTGACTATGTTACTTTCAATTTTTCTCTTTTTCCTTTCTATTTTAAGCCCAAAGTGTTCTATTTAATGAAAGGGGGAGGAAATAGATTTTCTTCCATTTTCTTACCGCCATTGCTTCATCAAACCTAAATCAACCATTTTATTTTTGATAACCTCATCATACCCATGGAAATGAATGATATTCTATCTCATCCATCATCATTTCTCATCTTCACCTTCAATCTCTAGTTGGAATATTATAGTCCAAACTGTTTTTCAACAATCGATGCTTCCTATCCACTGCAATCGAAGCCATTCCATCATCATCATCCTACTTTACTATTTGATCATCCGTTGATGGCGGCTGCAGTAGTTTCTCATTCATGAATCTCGCACACAATATGTTTATATACGTACCAATATCCAGTTGAGACTCGTCCATGTTAGGACATGTCTCTACATAGAAGCGTAGATGGCAAGTCCAGTACTTTCCAATGGCTTCGCATAGTAGGTGCTATTCAATTTTGACATATGTTGTTATTATCATCAACTCTCTTCGACACTGTATTCCAATATCGCCTTGTATTTTTCAACTCCTTTGACCTTGCTTTCATAACGATACTGGCAATGATGATTGCCTAGGATTGATCGTGATCGTTCCAAATGCAATCATCAATGTTATAGTATAGTAGTACTTTAAAGGCATAAACAAGAGCGTCTAATCATGGAAGACTATCAGTACAACGAGTCCCTTTTCTACAGATCTGCTGTTCTTGCGGGATTATTTTCGTCAACAAATGATATTTTACAAATGGGAACTAGAAACTGCAGTCAATGGAAAGTGTTTGAAGTGGCATAGACTACGCGTCGATAAGCTTTCTACTAGACAAGATGGCAAATTCAATCTATCTCTTCCCTTTTTCATCATCATGCCGTAATATCTCGTACCGTGATGAATTGCCAACATCAGGGAATGACGATTTCTACATGTTTATTTCTTGATATCCACAATGAAAAAGCATACAATATCGCTGTTGTTAATATGGAAATGAGGTAGTATATTCTTCGCCACGTTGATTTTTGGCGCGACGACATAATCATTTTGCAAGTAGAATGTAAATTACGGATTAATGATCTTGATGAACGTATTGGATCCGATTCTGTTGGCTTGAAATCATAAATTTTCTCTTATCCTAAACTATTACTCTAGGGTTTTTTCCATTATGCTTGCTCTTGCTACTCTTTAGTTTAATCATAGTGAATATACGTACGAGTATCATCTTGTTGGTGCTTCCAAGAAATAGAATCCTTCCCTTTGCATCGATTCAATGACCATAAACATGTCATGGTCGATGATAGTACTATTATTAATTTGCTGATAGCCACATTATTCAAGGAGGAATACTTGTATAATAATTACCAAAAAAGCGAAAATTTCCTTCTTCCTATTCTGCCAACCTATATGGCATCAATTCTATATTCAGATCTTGTTCTACCAGCTCGAACGGGTAGAGTCTGTACGGAATAGATAGTTTATTTTAAACATGATCCGATGACAACACAGGCAGCTGTTATTAACAGCAGCAACAGGAATACTTGATAGAACACAAATAAGGATATACTGTACTCTTATACTTCTTGTACGTATATTCTGGTACGTCTATTTTGACATCCTTTGATGCATTAAGAGAATGTACACAAGATTAAGCGAGCGTATAATAATTTGCAGAAGAAATGATTGATGCAATACTGGACTCAGTCATGGTGAAATCTGAATGTTATGATGTTGAAGGGTAAAATAATGAAGATCGTTGGCAATAGCCATCATTTATTTTCCTGTCAACATTATTTTATAAGGATGATGCTAACAATTTCAAAGCGGAAGTGATATGAAATAAGATAGAGTAATAGTTGAATGAATAGTCGTAGGTAGAAAACGATGTAAAAGTAAACTGATTGGAAGGACAATCTTAAACGATGGAATGAACGTGCTTTTTAAATTATCTTTGAATAGATTTTAGAAAGTCGCTCGATAAGATATTATCCTGTAGGTTTGTCCAGAAGAACTAACGAACAATTACGTAAGTTAAGAAGGAAAATAACTACACTTTAAATGAATATTTGGATTATCTAGTCAAATGTTGGATAACCACGGTCAAGTAGTTGCTATGAAATGCTTGATTATTTATGTATAACTTTTTACTAACTGTGATTAACCATTAGAGATATGTGAAAAACGATAGACTATCGTGCTAATATTATTCTCCTGTTGTAACATTCTGTCCTAGTTTTCTATTTCCTTGCTTTCCATAGGATTGTACTTTCATATTTTCGACTAGAGACGTGTTTTTATATGGAAGATAATACAGTCCAAATTGAGTACATTACCCCGGCCTTAATCCATTCGTTCATTTTTAAGATGACAAGTTACTCAAGATAATAGTTTAAAGATGAAAACAGTATTTATTCTCCAAGTCTTACCTAAATTTTCTGTAGTACTTCAAATGATAGAAAGTTATTGTCGTGAACGGATTCAATCCAAATTGATTCCTTCCTCTTTAATACCGTCATAACCTAGTCATTCATGCATTCGATCTTCAAACTCGTAAGTTACTCAACTCAATTAGGAACAAGAGTTTTAGGATAGAAAATGGCTCTAGTTCTCCAAGTCTTGTCTAAATTTGCGTTACTCTTTCAATGGATGTTATAGGAAATTATTGTCGTTGAGCTGATTCCATTACTTTCGATATGGTCATAACTTAACAATCCATTCATTCTTCCGCTCACAAATTACTCCAATATGGACAATAAGTTTAACACAAAATAATTATAGTTCTTCCAATCTTGCCTAAAGTATCGATAGTACTTTAAAGAATGATATTGAAAATGGCTATTACCGGCTAATTCAATCCAAATTGATTGCATTACCTTGGATGCAATTATAACCTAGTCATTTATTCATTCTTCAAATGCACAAGTTGCTCAACTATGGGCAAGAGTTTGAGGATAAGTAATGGTTCTAGCTTTGCAATTTTTCCCTCAATTTTCGAGAGTACTTCAAATGATGCTCCAGAAAAGCATTATTGTTAACTGATTCCATCAAAATTGACTCTATTACTTTTTGATAAGGCCTTAATCCAATCATTTAATCATTCTTTAAACTCACAAGTTATTCAAATATCGACCAAAATGATTCAATTCTTCAAATGTTGCCAAATTTGTGATAGTCCTTCAAATGATGCTATAGAAAATTATTATGGCTAGCTGATTCAATCAAAATGAAGTACACGATCTTTGACGCAGCCATAGCTTAGTCTTTCTTCGTTCTTTAAACTTACAAGTTATTCAAATGTAAACAAGAGTTTTACCAGTAACTTAAAAAACGACTCTATTTCTGCAAGTCTTTCCTAAATTTTTAATAATATTTTAAATGAAAAAAATTACTGTTGAAATGACAAGAGCCTAGGAACGGCGTAATTGTAGTATTGGATCTAAGAAAAATATTACAAATACGATTGCTACAGAATCATTTTTTGTACAACAGTTATATTATCATGATAGCTATGATAGAATTGGCTACTCATCGCTATATCACTTTAAGACTTTATTCCGTAGATGGAGTATTCGTCCTAGGCAATATACATGGCTTGTATAATGCTTTTCGCATTTGTTTTCATCAGCTAGTATCCATGATGACCTAGTGCACCAATAATTTATGATTAACATGCGCGTATGACACAATTGTCATTATTTGCCCTTGATTTACTCACATACAATATACGAATAAATATAATGTTTGATTATACTTACTTATTTATGCGCTTAATGCACATACTTAAAGAAACTTAAATTTGTTCACTAAAATTAATCTGTCCTTCTTAATTTCCCATTTTAGAACTAGTGAAACGTAAAGTTATGGTCCTGGACCTTGATGAAACTTTAGTTCATTCTCATCATATTGGGTATGCCTACTCTTTGTCTACAAAATTTTAAAATTAATGGTGTTTACTTGCATTTTCATGCGCCTGTTTTAATGACCTACTACAGGATGTCAGTTCTACATGATTCTTTGAAATATGCTTTCATTAAATGATTACTTAATACTATATTTCGCAGGATTGGATCCAATAACTCTCCTATGATGGCACCGGATTTTGTATTAACTGTGAGTTCGGATTATTTTTAAGATATTCTAGGATTAAATTATGACAATATTCCAGCTAACATCAACTATACTGAAATATTTTTGTCTCGTTACTATATTTTTAGTTATGTATTGATAAACAACCAGTTAAGTTTTTCGTTCATAAAAGACCACATTTGGATTATTTTTTGGAAGTAGTTAGCCAATGGTATGATCTAGCGATTTTTACTGCGAGTATGGAGGTATGAATTATAGTTTTGATTTCTATCAACAGTAGTAGAACAGACTGTAATGAGACTTTATTATACGCTGTTGCGTATAGAATTAATTCTGCATTATTTAATTTTATTTTAAATTGGTTAGATATATGGCTCAGCTGTCGCCGATAAGCTTGATCTCAATCGAGGCATCTTAAAAGATAGATACTATAGACAGGTAGGGAATATGCGAACAGACTTGAACTTCTTCTGCTTAGCGATAGTCAATTTATTCAAGATGCTAACATACCATTGCCATCTTTTACCTATATTTTAGCATTGCACTTTTTCATTTGGCAGCTATATGAAAGATCTTAGTAATGTCCACCCTGACTTATCGGATGTTTTTATTGTCGATAATTCTCCTGGTGCTTATCGAACTAATCCAGGTATGCTATACTGTCATTTTTTTGTATTATTTGTATGCTTGATGTTAATCTCTTGTTGGAATGTTCTTTATTATCTGTATCAACTCCTAACTAAATTTTTTATTCTTAACTTTGCACAATAAGAAAATGCAATACCAATTAAGTCATGGTTTTCAGATCCCACAGACACTGCATTACTCAACTTATTACCCATACTAGATGCTCTTCGATTCACCACAGATGTCCGATCTGTTTTAAGTAGAAACTTACACAGCCGTTGGTAAATAGTAAATTTTTTATAAGAACTATCGTTCTATTATTCCTAAGCCATATGACTGAAAGGCGAAAATTCTATTACAAATCGTATTATAGCAACACTATGTTCTTATTTGATCAGAATGTGAATTGCTACAAGTTGAACTATGACAATTCGCATTAACTTCTTACGCTTGCCAGCGCCATGTATTATACAGATGTATTGAATAAGATATTGTTTAGCAGTTATGCAAGGCTAAAAATTTATCAAATTTGATCTTGCCTAATTTTTGAAGCATTGTGTAAAGATTTAGTTTAAACGCTATTGCTCAGCAAAATTTGAGCATTCACTTATGATGATAACATTTTTGCATGTTATTTTTTTAATATGACTAGCTGTAATGATAATAATAGCAATTTATATCACTTTTTTTATAGAGTCCTCTGTTATTAATGTGGATTGTACAACCTTTGTACTGTACGTTTCGATCATGTCCCGAATTGCAATGCATATTATTTATGTTCATTGTGTTAGCAGAAACTAATGTCCCACAAAATTTCTATGCAAATTTTCACCTATTTGCTGTATAAAAGATGTCAATCAGAAAAAAAATAAATCATCTTTACTTCTTCACCTAATAATGACGATGATGGCTCTGTATTCTCCCAAGTGTTCTACTTTATCATATAACTAGTTAAAAGTTACTAGCACTTGCGTGGCACATGCCAATAGTCCTTAAGAAAAATTTCATATTGATTTGTTTATTTACTAACAAAGACTAACAAAATATTGCCATTCTTAGAACACCAGTATCAACGTAAAATGCCTTAGCTCTAGTATAATACTGCTGCTATCCGTGGCCCATAAACTAATTTTAAAAGTTTTGTGCATGACGTCACTCTATCTGGGTGTATCTTTACGTAAATTCAATCGAAATTACTTTCATATTTCTATAATAACAGGATCAGTTAGTTAGTCATCAAGGCACAGAATTTACAATATTTCAACTTTAACTAAGCAAAATCTTCTCTATAGAGACTTGGAAAGCTACCCAAAGATGATTGTAACACGTGAAAAAAGGCACGAAAATGTTATAGCGTTATGACACACTGCCTTACACGAAAAATTCACATCTATACACAGTCGTTTAAATACGATACAATGTATACATTTTCCCTTATTACTTTTCACATATTTCTCATCTAATTTTTAAAACATCAAATTAAAATAAAAGATTTTTTAGCAGATGGTCTCACCAAAAATTAATAGCATTTGATAGTGGTGAGGTAATTTTAAATAACTACGAAAATTAAATCGTATAAACTGTCCCTAACAAAAGATAAATAAAATTTGTAAAACGAAAGTGTACTGCTTTGTACAGAAACTCTTAGTATCGAAGAATTTGATGTTGTAAATTATCATCATAGTGTCTTGAATGACTATTATATGATAAGAGTTGCATCAATCTGCGTAAGTGACGGCAAAGCCAGTTTAAGTTTTCGCCTATACATGGGATCAGAAGCAATTGGATTTGCTTCTAAGTAGATCGTCTTAATTTTTTTGCAGTTATCGAGCTCCTTAACATCGTTCCAATCTTGAACTTGATTATTGTTCATCTTCATACCGAAAAATAAAGAAAATTAACAAAAATAAGATTCTTTAATGTGGAAAGAGCGCAGAAAATTTTATTTATGTATCCAAAATATAAACGTAATAAATAAATATTAAAAAATCAATCAAAATACTGTATATGATAGATATACCCAAAGCTCCTCTAGTAATGTTAAATGACCAAGATTCTGAATTTTACTGATACGATTGGCAGCTACATCGAGAATAGTCAATTTCGTCTTCCAAAAAATAAGTTCGTAATGATACACAGTTAGTTAGGCTAAAATTGAGGATCATTCTATATACTATCGAATTATTTTCAATTTTTTATTATAACATAGATACTATCCAATACCAGATTTTCCAGTCCTTCTATAGTTTTAATACCATTATCGCTGACATATAGTTCCTCTAAATTGACCAATTCTGATAATCCGAGCAATGATTCAATACGATTGCACTATAAATAGATGCAGTTTATCACTATATTTGTCATTAAACTCTACATTGCTATATAAATAAGAGCTTTAACGTATTTTTCTTATACCTGGATACTGAGAGTTTTCAATCCACGCAGACAGCAAATTCCCTGTAAATAGTTAGTAGAATTCGTATGTGATTGTTCTTAAAGTTACATCAATGAATTTATTATCATAATGGCAATCCTGCTGATTTGCAAGCATGAATAAAGCGATATTACCTCAAAGGATGCAATTTTATTACGGCCCAAGTACAAAGATGTTAGATTTTGCAAATTTTGAAAACCCTCGATTTTCTAAATTTGATCGGAGACATGAGGTTCAGCAATAAATAATTTATAATTAAAATGAAATTGTATTTACCCTAATCTTATTGGATCCAAGCTCCAGCATCTTTAATTCTTTTAAGTTCTCTAAATTTTCAATAACTTTAATTCTGTTATTACACAGATATAAGTCTTCAACTTTATCCTGTTGATGGAGGTTTTCAATTTTTTTTATTCCATTGAACGATAGATCAAGCTGTCTATAAGACAAACGGTATATATATATATATATATATGAATAAATGTATTAGAATTATTTCAAATTTCTATAAGTATTCGTAGTTTTGCTACTATTATTATATTTGACACTAGAGCGACAGTGTTAAATTTTGAAGGAAATATACCTAAGATTGACCAAAGTGTCAATATTTTCAATTTTTTCCAATTGATTATCATATAGATCCAACTCAGTAAGCGTTGTTAGCATATCAATGGCTTCGATACGCTTAATTAAATTTTGACGAAGGCATAATTTCTATCAAAGAGACGATATAGCAAAAAAGATTTTAAAATAAAACCTAAAACCTATGATACATTCGCCATTGATGCTAATTAGTTTATAACTTCTCTATGGTAAATAGTAAACTTATAGGGCAAGTTAACAATTAATTTTTCAACAAATTGAAAAAATACTAGCTAAAATAACTACCTATAAGACCGTTAGTAAAGGGAATAACTGCAAACAGTGATATCTCTTCTATCTAATACCGATTAGCGTATATCGCTAGATTGTTTAAAATGTAGTCATACTAAAGTATTTCCATAAACGCCAGTTATCGCTACAGCTGTAATCTATAAAAATTTTTAGCAAATGCTGTGATCGATCGGTACATATAACAAAAATTTGATGAATAACCTCAACACGACGCAGCCTGTCAAGATTTTCAATTTTTTTCAAGCGGCTGTTTGCAATTTCGACCACCTACAAAGCACGTATAGTAGAAGAATTTGAATAGATTGAACATTTCTCATTAATACTTTTCAATAGTTAATTATTATTTTATAATTCCTTGTTCCGTATCATTTTAAGACCTTAGATAAACTATAGTACAAGAAGGTATGTTATATTTAAGAGAGATAACTACTGACTAGAATATTCTCTCGCTTACTGAAGCGGTTGGTAAACGATGATAGTTTGTGTTTAAACTAAAAAGATACGTATTTTCCATATCCTTCAGTGGATTACATACATAGTTTGACATTTATCATTAAATAGGCGACAAATTACGCATTGAAAAGTTGTTAATATTGGTATATACGTATTCATCCATTAACCCGAAGTTAAAACCTTGGGGCAATTTACAAAATTATGAATAGCAAAGATCCATTACATCCATCGTATATAAATAAATAATGAAGTCAAACGCAATTTTTCTATTCATAATTGTGAAAATAGGACACTCTTTCATTAAATGGAGAAAATCGAATAACCATCTTATTTAAAAAACCGATACTGTGAGAAGTTGATGGTTGTGTTTCTCGGATTCTTCGAAAAGTGAAATTCATGTATTGTATTTTTAAAAGGAAATGCTACAAAATTTTTGCCTTCTAAGCATTGTACCAATGCTGCTCTATATACAGGCCAACGTAAGTTTAGTTCTATTGGGTAGAGTTAATAACATTTAATTCTGAAATAGGTGTAAAGCCATCCATTCTATTGTGTGCCTACCGATTACTTTGTAATCGAGCTATCATTGTTAGCATAAAGCAGTCGATTAGCAGGCCAAAGGCATAATGTGATTGAGACCTTTCTCATTTTATAGCTATTAAAGTCAGTTATATTTTGAAATGATTTACCCTACTAAACACTACGCTGTTGAAATGGAACAGTGAAATAGAACCAAACTACTTCCCGTTTGATAAAGCTCATTTACCATTTGGTAGTAGTTGAGCGATGTACCAGCTGTATGAAATTGGGTATTAATTTTGAAAGATTGCAGAACATGCATATAACAGGTGGACAGGTATTTCGGCAATATTTACTGTATATTAGATCTCGGCATTGGGTAGTCATTATTAGTAGAAGCATTGAAACTTCCGTATGCAAATAATACGTTCTTAAATGCCAAAAAGTTACTGTATACTCGTATACATTTGGTTAATGGGCTGGAAAGATTTAGTGTGTGTCCTCATACTGATCTCCATTTCTGCCAACATTGACAGTATTCTGTTAAACGGATAATTTAGTTGATCGCTTTTACGGACAATAGTAATACCGAATACTTCTAGTCATGAATTGATCTCCGACCAAGAAGTAATGATCTAAATCGTTGCCAACATTTATTCCGATAAACGGAAATTCACGATTGGAGTTGGTTTCAAGGCCAATAGTGATACCAAATCGATCACCATCTTATTCTACATACACTATTCCAAAGGCAAATTTAGTAGTATTACTTTCAAGGAGGATAAATAATGGTAATTGCATTAAGAAATGACAATTTCAATAAGCTACTCGGCGAGTGATGGTGAATAAGAAGATGGAGATAATTGCACCATCATCATGCAGATGACGTTGTAATATATTTGCTACTTTGGAATCATATTTCGTGTTACTATTTTGTTGAACAAGATACTTTAAAATGGACTAGCTTATAGCCCGCCCGTTTAGGAAGTAAGCCACACAATTTTCTATTTCCATTAAGAATAGAGCCTTGGCTCTAGTCTAGGTCAAGGTCCTTGGCTGAGATTGAGCACTCAAAAACAGCTTGGCCAGTATCCATCTTTGTGGTCAAGTTATGAAACGTCATTAAATGGTAACTTGATGACGAAAAAATGTATAAACTTGACTGTAATCTATCGATTAAGATAACAACTATTCAACATGTTATGATCAAGATAAGACTAACCAAGCTATCAGGATCGAGCTCAATAATCAATTCTTCGCTATCTTCGCCTACAGGAACAAGTAGAGAATAGTGTTAACCTCAAGCCACTGACTACATCTCTCGGCTCGATCGATGCTATACTAGCCTAGAAAGCAATAAGGAGACGATGCACTTGTAAGCCTTTTTCTAACCTTTTTCAGCACATTGATTATCTGTTGATGAAGACATGATCGGGTACTTGTAGCTGAGTATTTTACGTTGTTGCTGTTGACTAAAAAGGGCCAAAGGAAACACTTGTGATGAACGATCAAAAATGAGAAATTGAAGTTTTCATCACCTTGGTAATACTGCTGTAGTATCACGTAGTCAATGTCAGACGATGAATATAGAGACTATTCCTGCAGTCAGACTACAGTATTGAGTACCAAACTGCACAATGTGCATACTGTGCTTATCCAGTAGCAGACCTCTTGTATGTACTATGTAATACGTACTAGTGTTTTAGTCCAACTCAATCAACATTCTTAGACGGACAGATAGAATGGACACAATCTTGTCAACATCTTTATTATGGGCAAACACTTGATCATGGCAGCAGTTATGACTTGAATTGGACTGATTTTCTCTGCATAAACTAAGTAATATTACATTTAATCTTACTGTATTACAATACGATAGACTGTATGAATGAAGCTGTCACAAATTAAAATTTAATTAAATAACCTGTGATGTGGAAAACAGACACAGAAGATAGATGATCGATACTACTTAGCCATTTTTCGAAATTTAAAGGTCTCTATCCGGTAAGAAAAGTCCGTCCATCCGAGAGAGAGTGATCACTCAAGATCGCAGCAAATTCATGGGCCATGGCTAATTCGCCATTCTCGATGATCGCGATCGTCGAAAATGGCGTATCTTACACCTAAGTTGAAGAACAGAGCTTTCTGTACACGTATTATAAAATGTACATTTGATCGATCCTGCGTTTGTTAACACCTATGACTACATCGCTGAAATGGCTTATATGATTATATAAGAAAAGTCCGTCCATCCGAGAGAAAATGATCACTCAAGATCGCAGCAAGTTCATGGGCCATGGCTAAATCGCCATTCTCGATGATCGCGATCGTCGAAAATGGCGTATCTTACGCCTAAGTTGAAGAACAGAGCTTTCTGTACACGTATTATAAAATGTACATTTGATCGATCCTGCGTTTGTTAACACCTATGATGACTACATCGCTGAAATGGCTTATATGATTCATGATACACGCCATATTGCCATTAACACTACTGTACTTACTGAGTTTCAATTCAAACAATTTACATAAATCGTACAGCATTATGCTATGTGGGCAACTATGTGGAACATTCATACCCACTCACCCGACCTACGGGTATACACTACTATAAACAGTAGTCTAGAAATAAAGATCATACAGGAATTTCAACGGAATACAACTTTGATTTTTGAACGAAGGAGTGCTATCGAAAATAATCAGATTGTACAATACTCTTATACTGTACTCCATACTGCATGTAGTATGTCTCGCCCTGGATCCTGGATACGTATCCATTTTGAATGTAAATCACTCCCGATGTCTTCTTCGGACGGGCGGACTTTTCCTACTCTATGAGATCGAAAATGTCGAAAAATAGCTACAGCACCTAGTATGGATCCTCCGTGTCTGTTTGCTAAATCACTCGTACTAATTTAACTGCTAATAATACTAGCTTAACATCCGGGTCGCTTCGCCAACAGAGATATCGTAATTCATACTCGTCGATTCTTATATAATTATTTCAAGTAGAACTTGGTAATAGATTTTAAGATTGAATGACTCAATTGACAGTTGGAAAAAATCAGTCAATTCAGAATCGACCGCACGCATCCTAAGGAACTCTACGGTACAGTGACAAGTCTAGGTCTTCTTCCAATATACAGTAGTAGAGACTACAGAGTAGTGTACACTTGAAAAGTCCTATCTCATTGTATGTACATTTGTTACGTTTTCAAATATATGATCTTCTACTCGGCAACAAGGAAGATTTCGTCAAATCTTCGCATGAGTCCCAGTAGTGCTAGAGTGTTGAAGTAAACTTTATTGTTGTACTACAGCGTTCTATAACTGAACAGAACCAACGGTTTACATATACTGTAGTATGCTGTACGCTGTATAATAAAGGTCTTTTTTTAGCAGGACATGAAAAATTGCAAATAAAGGTCCCTAGTCACCATACAAGTCTTGAAAAAGTAAAGCAAAGTCCATGACTGTTCTGTACTAGTATAAAAAAAAAGAACAGAAAAAAATCTTGAAAGTATTACGTAAGCAAGTAAGGCTCCGAGCCTGCGTACAGCTTTAGTAGTGTCCGATACAGTTGAAAAAAAAAGGAAAATGTAAATCCGGGTAAGCACTCTGGTATCTATTGGATAGCATTAGTAAGCTAATGTATAACGTCGTAAATGGGTTTGAATTGGTAGCAATGCTTCAGAAAACAGACACAGAAGATCCCTTCTTCTTTAACTCTTTGCCGACATTTCTGTCCCTCTTTCAAAAAAGTCCATCCATACCTCATGTCTCGAAGAACTGGTGCACTCAGCAATGTGACATGACTATGCACAGTATAAAAAACCATGCTATCTGTGTGCATGACAGCATGGTTTGAATTAGTAGCAATGCTTAAGAAAACAGACACAGAAGATCCCTTCTTCTTTAATTAAGTAACTCTTTGCCGACATTTCTGTCCCTCTTTCAAAAAAGTCCATCTATACCTCATGTCTCGAAGAACTGGTGCACTCAGCAATGTGACATGACTATGCACAGTATAAAAAAAACCATGCTGTCTGTGTGGATGACAGCATGGTTTTCTGAATTGGTACTGTATCATGTGTCACTGCCATATACATGATACAGTACTGTACGTCAACGGTGAAGTTTTTCATACTGGCACTACTATAGCAAAAAGTGAAGAGGCTTGTAATCACGATTCTGATTTCATAAATGTGAGTGATAAAATAAGGAAAGTGGTGCTTGCCGATTTACAGTTCAAATGACCACTTTACTGTATATCACTGCTACTATAGCACTGCACTTTTACTTTCTTTGGATTGAATATAGAATTGTACATGTGGAGAAAAAGGCCTTACTGTTCTTCTCTCTCTCTAAATTGCAAAGGCCTGTGCCGCTCGTCATACTGTTGTACAAGTACACACCCACAGGGCGGGCCTTGTGACTTGTGACGTTTCTTTGAATACGCCGAGTCTGAACAGGTTTCAATCTTGTTGGTGTATTGTCAGTACTAGACGCCCTACTGTGACGTTAGTGCTTCATGCTGAGTGCTGTATTCATTTTAAAAATTGTACTATTCATTGCAAGCCATGCGATGACAGAATTCAGTTATCAGACAAATGGAAAAGCTTTTCCTAGACTCCTATCCAGGAAGTTGCTGCTCCTTGATGATGCTTTAAAGCGAAGAGACGCTAAATTGAAAATCCAACATTCCTACCAGCCCATGCCTAGTCCAATTCATTGCAATTCAATTCTACAATGCAACTGAAATGGAAACGTCAATCGTCACTTGGCTGACCTCAGTCTACTTTCTATTGTGTCAGCAATGAATGACCTGAAGTAGACGATCATCCTCGAGTACGTACTGTCATACAGGTGACTCGCGCAGCTCACCCTCACTGTATTCAGTCAAGCTCTGGTAACGTGCGTCGCGTTGCGTCAGAGTTTCTGGGATGTGCAACGAGTGCCAGCGCCCAAGTTGATTGGCATATGGGCAAGGCGGTCATTGTTTGAAGCATTGTAAGGCCTACATGTAGAGTAGTTGTCCGGGACATTTTAATGGATTTATACAATAATCATAATCTTCAATCGACATTACTATGTGTCCTTTTAATTACTTGAACCATTTTAGTAATTGTATTGAATTAATTAGCATTCTAGTGGCAAGGAGCTCAAGGGCAGATAGGGGGAGCCGGTGAATGAACTACGCTTAGGAGTTAGTATCGCTCACCAGTCAACAACAGCAGATTGTCTGTCACACTGTGTGTGACTCACCCACCACTTTTCATGTCAGTCGAATGACACGGAACCACGGACTCCATCCTGCACACGCTCTCTCCCAGTACGATACAACCACTGGTCTATCAATACAATACGCTCAGATAACTGGTACCGTACCGGAACAAGACGTCAGTGAAAAAGGCTGCCAGCCCCCGGTAGTACTACAGTATATTCGATTCAGTCTATGGAGTAGGCCAGAGAAAAAAATTTTTTTTCCTTTCACAATTTTTTTTGGCCTCCGATCTTGGACTTGGTTCACTCAAGAGAGTTTTTACCCTCTTCAAGCATTCTTACTGGCAATTATTATTACTACTGAAGACTTTCGCAAAGGTTAACTACAGCCAGTTGTTATTAACAAAAACTGTCATTGCTGTTGGAGACGTGTCGACGAGTTTTTTACACCTGAAATGGGACGAAAAAAGTAAGTTTCTTCCTTAGTTCTCGTCTGGATCGTCAGGGAAAAGGATCGCTTTATCGTTCTCATATTCAATCTGGCTGTAATGAATTGAATCATGCTACTCAACGTACCTTTAAAATTCATAGTGTAGCTGAAGAGTAATTGTAGTTTAGTATTGTGGAAACGGTCACTGTGTACTGTAGAAGAGGAGTTGTTAGTCAATTTTTTTTTTCCGCCATGTCGTCAACGGCCATGAGCACGACCTTGAATGGAATAAGCATCTTAGCCTGAGACAAAGTATACGTACATCCTATCGAGGATCAACTGTACAATGTTGTTGTCGTATTACTGCTGTTGATCCGATCCATCTTTTATTCACTTATTAAAATGTTCTGACCCAATCGTACTCTATCGATATTAACTTGTGCATATCACGTTGTACTGTACGATAGTTGCCCAATGCGCAGTCCTGTACTGTAGTGTACAGTGTACGGTACGGTTAACCTCAAGGGCATGCAATTCGTTATCGGATCATCGGTCTATGGCATAAATTTCTAGTCATTGACTCTACTTATTTTTCGACCTGACTGGCTTTTCGCTTAAACTACTTGAACATTCTTAGTCGATTTTTAAAGAGATCAATTGACAGTACTATTAAACTGTTTGACTTTTTTAATGCACACGAGTAATCTTGCTTTTAGATTACCGTTTCTATCTCAACAGCTCACATCTCTATCTGTGTGTTTCATTAGGCGGCATGCCAAATTAAAACGAAATATCGACGAAGAAGAAGAACACAGTGATGATCAACAATTGACTGATCCCGATGCGGTGAGTTGTCCATACTAAATCACACTTTGATACAATAAATTCTCTACTGTTTTACTACGTAATTACCCTTCTGACTATACTGTATTAATACTCAGTATAAGTGCACATTTGTGATAAGTTCCAAATGAATTGTTGCTCGCTGAACACCAGTATGAATCGAACTTACTCACACTGCATAGTGCGTAGTAATGTTTTCTCCTAGGTATTGCGATTCGACACACCAATTTACTATGTACCATTACCTTTCTGAGATAAATGCACGTGTGCTACTTAAAATTTAATAATGTAATGAATGAATCGAATTCTACCTATTGTATGACGAAATTAATTGGCAGTAGTACCCACTCTAAAAAAACGCTTTGGATCGATAAACTGATGCAATCTGTCGCTGCTAGTTGATGGCGTTGTTGTAGATTAAGCTTAACAATTAGCATGGCGTACTGAAATTCTCAAAGTGAATGATTGGAAGGCTAACTTATGCTCTTGATTTGTAGTCGCATAACGTTTTGACTACTTTTACTTATGATAACCTCCTGCACGACATGTACATTTATCGGTACACTACTATGCACAATGATAGTTTTCTGGTTTATAAATCTATTATAAAGGTGAGACGTTTATTGAAATCCTTGGACAGGCCTGTAGTTAATGTTAGTAATTTGATAGGCCATACGTACGTATGCATGCACCGACTTTATATGATTTTAAAGCACTATACTTGCTGCTTATTTTCCGCACAGTAGAGAATTACACTTGGGAACCCTATCTGCGTCTTCTAGTAAAATTTCCTGTGAAGTTTATTAAATCTCTAGTTAAACTACACGGATTGGCTTGCCTTCGAAATGCATGATACTTTAAATCCGCCTACGTTCTATGAATCGATGAGGAGGACCTCAGGAACCATCCCAGCTCATTAGACACCACATTAATAGTAGCAGCAACCATAACGAGACTAAATTACCTGCTGTATGCCAGTACTGTAGTACGGAAATCGATCAAAGAGTGATATACTCGTACAGTAAGCACGATATCTGTGGACGAACTATTGGTAGAATTTTGTGCAAATGTGAGCTCAATTTTCACAGGTGCATCCAATACAATTTTTAAGTGGACAAAACCCTTTTTGTATGCTTTACATTTTACATACAGTGTGTAAAGTTTAATGGATATCAATTGTAGCAGAACGATGAGTACTTGATTTCTGTAGTATAACTACCAGCGAATAAGAAAGTTAGGTCTAACATTGTCCAGAACATTGTACTGTAATTAATACGTTCTGCATCTATGCAATAAGTATACGGTCAAAAATATCCATTGTTCACGCTGAAATTGTAAGATTCCTTGCTATTACGTTACGGCGTTTACCATGTTACCGTTCTCTTTGCATAACGCTCGGGTTACGAAGTACCATACAGTAGTTGCTATATGACGTATTGTTATTTATTGATATACGTATATACAGTATATATATATAGATACCTTATATCTAAATATTATTATTAATGGATACTGCGTTATTCTTACTTATTATTTTCTTATAAAGCGTAAGTTACTTTATTATAGTGTTGGTCACGTAGTTCTAAAATTGTTTTAGTCAGCAAATTTGTGATAGCTGATGATTTATAAGGACGAAAGATTCTTAAGAATTGACTGAATGATGATGATATATTATTGATGCAAAAGATGTTGGAGCCGTGATAAATGTTAGCTATCAGTGATTCTAAGTATTAATGACACTTATGATGATATCATTTCTGGAATCAGTTTCGTGGTATAGAGACGTGGTAAATGCACTTGCTAAAGCAACATTTATACAACTTTTAGTTAATGAGTCATCTCAAATGGGGGTAGACTGGTAGCTAACTGCTGTGATGAGTCAACATATTACCCAGTACCGCCTATGCTGAACTACTGGTTACTTGTTATTACATGATTTGATGTCAGTCAGTTCCGCAAGGTGTATTCCCTCATATTTACTTAAAAGTCTAACTTGTAGTTATACAGTTTGTGATAATGTGCGACTGCAGCATATGTATGTTTAGTGGAGGACAATTTTAATATCAACTTTTTAAATGGGAACCAAGGCATCTCTCACGATGTAGCCTTGAGATCACAATTTCTGTTACAAGATAAGTAATTCTGAGATTGACAGATTATATACGGTATATATATATAATTATATACTATTAAGCTAATTGAATGATATTAGCGATTGTAAAAAAAATCTAAGACAGTATGATTTTAATGACACTCGTAAAGTACTATTGCGCCTGTCTCGAAGATTTGTGATTATTTTCCGAGTTCGTAGTTTGGATACTATATGCATCACGGTAAGCATTCGTGCTGCGGTATACAAAGTAATAAATCTGTACAGTATTATGTGCACATTAAGATAGTGATTGTATCATCTATGTATAAGCTATAACACCAGGAGGATCGAAGATTTGATTGATGCTATTCATATGTCCTAATTTATTTAAAGTCTGCTTTTCAAAATGTTAAATATTTTGTTATTATTTGATGTAGGAGGACGACAATTATTATTATAATGAGGCCGAACAATACTATAATAAAGAAAAGGTAAAGATACCGAGTATATATGAACACATGACTTCAGAAACTTCTCAGAAACCTACTTATTAAAGTCATATACAGATACAGCATCATGGACGACTAGATAGTAAATCTAGCAATTCATTGTGATACCTAGTTAGCACTGTACAGTATTGAGTTTGTCCGGATAGACTTTATTATAAGAGCTAAAACTATAACATGCTGTATCTCTACAAGTCCTATGTAGGTATTATACGACGTACTAGACATTAAATTAATGGATTCTTTTAGTTTAATAGTAACTACGTATCAAAAATTTTAGTAGATTATCCTTAGGTTTACAGTTTAATTGCAGAGTGTATGATATGAACGAAAATATTGCTACATAAAGTTTTGCCAACGATTCTATTAATTAATTATCTTAGTACAGATTGTGTATCTACTTAAATTTATTTTATATGCATTTTATGTAAAATTATTTCATAATCTATTCCTACCAGATCCCTTTAAACGCCGATGATAGCAATGATGAAAACTTTTCTGATCAAGACGAGGTATAGTATTCCTTTCTTCTCTTTGCTTAGATTATGTTTTAGATTAAAGTGGTCACATGAATTTCACTACCTAATATTCAATATCCTACGAATCCTCCAGTCTCACTTTTAATACTTTTCGACAAAACTCATTAATTAATTATTAGGGAATACAGTACCTTAATTAAAGGGTCCCGATAGGGAGTAATATAAACAGTCGGTGAACTGATTTATAAAGCATACTCGTAGAATAACATTTTTAATTCAGGTTTAAAGTAGTTAGTGATACTGGTTCATATTACACAGTGTTTGGCGGTTTATTGACCTACTTTTAAGGTCATTGCTGTTGTGCTATGCAGAATTTCAGGAAGACAACTTTTATGTTTATTTGGACATCAAGTTACTTAACTGTGATTGAAAGGGGGTCCCGTTTTGATAAATTAATTAAATAATCTGTCTTAAATTTCTGCCTGCAGGTGTCGTGCAGATGCCCTAAATTACAATAATTAATGCAATCTAAATTTATTATAGTGTGGTATTAAATGAATTAGCCATGCTAGCCTGTTATTTTCATACCCAATCAATTTCAATAAATACAGCAAAATGCTTGCTGGTGGAATAATGAATATACAACGAGTACTAGTAGTTTACTAAGTGCATTCAATGAGCATCGGTATTGTGTTATTTTAAAGAACCACACTGAAAATCTTTACTTTATTACATAATAATTGTATTACTGATCGGTTTAACGGCATTAATATTGATTTTATTTGCAGGATTTGGACATGGATGGGTTAGAGTCAGATGAAGTAAGAACAGTAAATTAATGTTATTCAGCTTACAAACCTCCTAAGATGTTATTTAGGTATCAATGATGATGCCTGTTATTAAGTAGTATGCATTTTTCGCTGAATAGGATTCTGATGAAAGTGTTTCTGTCGATGGTAAAAGCAAAGGTAAAGCTTGACCGTTATTTTAAGCCTAATTTCAATATTTTTCTCCTACAGATTGGATAGGGTTTTAGATATAATACTTAATATCTATAGCACTATTAGAAATTATACTATTACTAATGTGACGACTTTTTACATAGATGAAGATGCAGCTGCAGAAGAGACAGCAAATAATAAGGCCTGGGGCAATAAAAAGAAACCGTTTTATCATTTTGATGACGAAGATAATCTTGGTAGGAAGTTGATATAGCAGACGTTTCCTTTAATGAATATCCATGTAGTTTGTATCATAATTTGCTCGCTTTAACATCAAACCTTCTCAAAGTTGTCACAATTTGCAACATTATGGGAGCAAAATCATTAAATTTATTTGGATACATACTGACTATAACTAGATGAATCGAATGAAGAAGAATTAGCGGAAGATGAAGAAAGAGAAGCTATGCTATTTCAAGAGCAGCAGAATCAAGGCCTGGCGGAGGAGGATTTTGAACTATCGGATCTTTTGAGCATCGCAAGAGAAAAGGTTGCCCAAGCGGCTGAAGAAGAAAAGCGTCAAATAGATTTCCTGGTAGATTATAGCACAAATTGTATTTAAATATTATTTTAATTGCCGACTTACTGATGCGTGGCCATCTTATATCACTAGGAGAGAATTCCCAGAGATATCTCAAAGCTATCCCCTAAAGAGCAACTGGAAGTATGATATACATTCATTTTACATTCATCCTAATTTGATATCGTAGAATGATTGTCTTCTCAACGCTAACCGTCCGCTTAACGCACATTTCAGATTTTAGTTAAGGATGCTCCGGAAATAATGACCTTAATTGAAGACTATAAAGAAAAGGTACAGTGTTTGAGTCTATACTCGTATACAAGTCAGCACGTACATATGCCATATTAATTTTCATATTATTCGCAGATGGAAGAGATTGGTCGCACTTTACATCCTTTAATTCAGTTTGCAAAGTGTAAAGGGCTATTATCGAGTCAGGTAAATTGCGTAAATTGCCTTGAAGTGACCTCATTTAAGCTATTTTCTTAAGTTAACAATCTTGATTGCGTAGGGTATCAGTTATCTTGAAACGAAATATCAGCTATTACTTAAGTAAGTTAATTACCTCAGTCATTAACGCTTTAAGATATTCTGCTATTGAATGCTTTACCTGATGTTGAAGCTATCTATAACGATGTTCCTATACTTACAATTTTAACTTATTTTGCAGCTACTGCGTCAATGTCAGTTTGTATTTAGCTATGGCAGCTCATGAATCGAACTCAGAATTTGATGTCTCTCTTCATGAGCATCCAATTATATCAACTTTGTTAGAATATAGACATGTATGTAATGATATTTGGCTGCTTTAAATTAATTTTGCTTTATAAAACATTTGATCAGTTATAGTAATGTGGATACCAATAAAATTTTTAACTGTAAGTATGCATTCTTCATATCCGACAGTTAATTGCTGAGATGCATCCTTTGGATCGAGCTGTTGCTTCGGAAATGGAATGTTTGCTGGAAGAGTATGAGAAACTTAACGTTAATGATATCGCAGGTAAGAAAAGAATTCACGCAACTGATATCTACTATACACCCAGTTTATAGTATTTTTAGTTTTTTTATTGAATAATTTAATAGCAAAGTACCGTTAAAATAAGTGAACTTAAGTATAAATATCTTTTCTATAGATAAAGGCGTTTTGGAAAAGAAAAGAAAATTAGAAAAACGACAGCAGGTACTTAAATCATGCTGCAAACATAAGTTGTCTACAAAGACATGAAAATGGAACGATATTAATCCGAATATGCGTAAAATAAACGATGTAAATTATAAGTTAATATTTGTTGTTTTCTTTCTTAAATGATATCAAAGAAATCGAAAAAATTGATGGTTGAGAAGAATATAGTTAGAGAACCACCGGTAAATTACGCTACTTCAGAAGTACCAAGTAGATCGCGAAAAAATGTATCCGAGGAAAGTGTTAACCAATATATTGAAAGTGTCTTATCTAAGAACAAACTAAGGAAGACTAGGAAAGATTCTATGGGATTGTAAGCAATAGGAATTTTATTAATTTATTACTTATGGTATGTTAGTAGAGAGATATAATTGTTGTACAAATTTATTATCCAGGAGCGCTGATTCCGATGATGCGACAAATGTCTTAGCCAATGGTTTCTCCGATGATACTATTGATGGCAAACGGGCGATTAACTATCAAGTAAGATTTTTATTTATAGTTTTTAAAATTTGCTATAGAGAGTATCGTAAAATGTATAGGAATCGGCTGTTTCTTACGTATGGTATAACTTATTTATGGATATTCGTAGATTTCAAAAAATAAGGGACTAACTCCAAGACGCAAAAAGGAAAACAGAAATGCGCGTGTAAAGTATCGTAATAAATTCATTAAGGCGCAAAAGAAAAGAGTTAGCCAGGTATGTCATGCGTTACACTCTAATCTAATTGCACTCGGAATAGGGTTGTATTTACTGGTATACCAATATAACGATTAAAATGAATATTCAATGCTACCATTATGCTGGTTATTATAAAGACTAATGGTATTATTGCGTTATATAATATCAACAGGGTGTTCGCACCGTTCGTTCAGCAAATGATAATTATATTGGTGAATACACTGGTATTCGAAGCGACATTATACGAAGTGTGAAGATAAACTAATGCTTAGTTGATAGCTGGACAGAAAATCGATACGATTTTTATCTTTACTGTCTTATTTAAGGCTTAGATGTAATTAACTCGGTGCATGATATTGTACGATGCAAGTTTTTATTTTTTCACGTATAACTTATTTCAGTTTACTGAAAATCAAGAGTTAGCATGAGTTGTGCTGTCGCGTAGAAAGAAAAACTACCTGATTTCACTCTGTACAATATCGTTTGACTGCACTTTGCTGGCGCTGTACGATTTTGCTATTTTGTAAGATCATATTTTATTACCTACTTTTCGTGCAATTAATAGTTAATGTTTATAAGACAGCAGATTTCTATACCACGAAACGCAGATTTTTATGTTCTTATAAATAACTGCTAAGGCGAACTAGGATATAAGTAGAGATGTTGATCAAGGGAAATGTAAACGTTATGACGTTATGCAACGGTATTTGTACTTTGGAGAATATTTATTGCCCAACTGTAAAGTTCTTTACTAAAACTGTAAATATGGTATGGTACAGAATACCTGAGTGAAGATTGACCTCGATAATAAAGTGTATCGATTCTCAACATACTATATTAGCTAAAACGTACAAATTGATTTTGTAAGTGTGTATACCTTCACTCCTATGCTTGCGTATGTGCCTGTCACGACTTCAATTATCTAGTTGCTACATTGAATGTATGTTTTACTCAGTGACCCAGTACATTACTGGATGATTATTTCTTTGACTCTTACCCAAAGAGTGATGCAATTTACAGTATAATGAATTAATCATTTCTCAGCGGTGGATTATAAATCTTTGGTATGACGTGCTGCGTGTAATGTACAGCTTAGAAAGAGAAGTGTCAGCACGATCTGAGTCACAAGGATTTTAAAACTTTCTAGTTCAGTTTAATTTTGCTTTATTGCTATAGCCGCAATATTATATCCTTTTAAGTTGTCTTATTTCATAAGGCAACTTTCTAAATAAAAGAGACAATACAGTGTAATTTTCTTGCTTAATTGCTTATTCCTAAAGAACGATCAGTTCACCATTCATTGTTATTATTCGATACATTTTCAAGGTACTCACAGTATAATAAACTATAAAATATGATCGTGCAAACCTCATTTAAGTTAAGTTGCCTTTAAAACTTTTAATTTTAAAACACTGAATTTTCTTTGCTAAAACATTGTTTTACTATATGACTAATATGCGTAGAGGTAAACCCTGCTTGTGTAGTTACTACCAGAACAAATTCAATTTCGATATCTGTCTGAATACCATGTAAGATATTGAATATATTTTCTTTACTTTCACCATGTTTAGGATGATACACGATTTATTATTGTTGTCCCTTGAAAATCTTTAACATAATGAGTAATGAGATGTACAGTGAATAGTAAGTTACAATATTATAAATTATATAATTATAGGTAAGCAATAAAATTTTCGAGATTGTTTGGCTTTATAATAAGCCTTGTTACAGTAACAATAGTCATCAAAATATACTGTACATTGACAGTACAATGGTAGTTCCAATTGAGAATAATTTCTCAAAGCTAATCAATTAGTTTACAGTAGTAAATTGAAGCTATAACTACACCGCATGGACGATGATAGATTCAACGTGAGATTTTGTGATACAACCAATCATAAAAGACCTTATGATTACGAATAGATCGGAAATTACATCAACCAAATCTATCCTCGATGTGTATACTATTTGAGATTATTCTTTATGTGCTATCTAGGACCAGTTTCAGCATCCGAACCCAGAATCCGAGCCCTAAACAAGCAGATTTCAAATTCAGCAATGCACGTAACATAAAAGATAAGTTAGATGTATCACTGCACAGTAATAAAGCTCTTTTATGATCTAAATAAATAACAAATCAAGAAAGTTTTCACTACGTATTACCTAGCGGCAGCATATTCGGCCTCTCTTTCAGCCAAGGTCTTTTGTTGTGGCTGAACAGGATTAACTGTAGAATGTATCGGACGTTGGCCTCCTTGTTCAGCACCTCGTTTTAGAATGCGAATCTAAGAAAAATAAGTCGTAATTAGAATATTACAAGGTAGTGCTTATGCCAACGGTTCAGTATAACCATCTGTCCAACCATATTTTATGGTGCAATAAAGGACATATTACATTGTATATTATTATATATAACAGAGAAGAACACTACCTCACATAAAGTAACTCATACCAGTTAATGAAATCAGAAAATCTGTAAGCTAATATTCAGCACCTAACCTGAGGTTGAAAGGCTGTCGATCTAGAATCTTCTTCAACAATAACAGTATCTGATGGCACATTTGGAATAGTTTTTGTTCTGATAAATTAATTAATTAAAGATGAAATCAAGACTGCGATAGCCATTATAGCGGTCATTATTCACTTTGCGATATCAACATCGAAGAATACGAGTAATATTGTCGTATCCTATTCTAGCATTACTCTCTACAGTATTGACTAATAAATATGAATATAACCATGTGATACAGGTTACCCGCTACTGCTGATTTACGATGAATTAATGTATTGATATTCTACAACTACGAAGTGAACTGCAGCTTTTATGATATCCAACTTACTTTGTGTCCTTTTCTCGTTGCTTACGTTCAATCTGGTCTAATTTCTTCTCAAAATTCTTGCCGAAATAAAAAAATTGAGGGATTACAGATTATTCAAATGAGAAACGCATTTGCAAACACGTATAGTAGTGCTACAGTAATCAAGGTAAGAACAACATGCTATTTCGATCATTTTTGATAACAGATTTAGTGCAGCATGAAATTAATCGATAATATTGTAATAGACGTCGCTACAGAAAATGTGACGCGGACATTTTTGGTACTAATTACATTTATCACGGCCATCCTGCTGCACTGTACTGTAATCAGTCAATTTACAAGAGTATGATCATTCCTCTACTCGATGATATCCAATGCCTTTAGGACACAGGGTTATGTAGATGATACACAGTCATCATTATGGCGCAATTGAATGAAATGCTTGCCCATGTGCTGAAACTACCAGATCAGATATACTTGTATTTTAGAGGACATGTCGTGACACTATTTCGGATGAGTTTTGATCACGTATGGTATAATCGATTCAACGCGTATTACCAGCTATTATTACATTACTAGCGATTGAGTACGCGTATTTTCGTCTCCAAATTGAGACAAGGGTAGTTTAGTTATCAGTTAGTTTCATGATTATAATTTCTTCTCGGTAGTTAGTACTGCATAATCTATTTATAGCCCATGTCTTATGTATGTGGCCACTACTTCAATTAACAAGAATTAATTTCGTCACTATTATCGATGGTGAGCAATAGCCTTTAGATGTATAATTAATATAAGTGTTTGAATAATCAAGTTCAATGGTGTGATTGGACGAAACTGTCGTATTCATGCGATGCGAATGTCTTTTTATCAGTACTCAATACATCCAAGACTACAATATTATATGTCTTTTTAACAACCCTTGTTGCTTGATGATTTAACTTACTTGTGATTCTGCCGCTTCTTCCCAACTATCGAAAGGTTCATCAGCCATCTTGTGCGTCTCGATACGATCGGATGGAATAGAAGCGAAAAGACTAGCAATTCTAACTGCTGCCCTACACCTTGTCGGCGATTTTGTCACTCTACTCGACGATTGAAAGGAGCTATTAATGAATTAGAAAAGAGAATTTTGACGTTCAATAGAGGATTACTTTGTTAATGTTTGAGCTTAACATAAACTTAATACAATATTGTAGTCTAATTCTCTACCACTCAATCACTTGAAGTTGTCAAGGTTATTATCGCAAGAGTCGATCGTTATCCTCTATCACCACGAGACCAGCTGGATGTCGTCGGTTATTAACTACAATCCAACTATACCGGTAAGTATAGAGTTGTACAACTCTGTTTCGGTCTTGATTGCGGTAGAATAATTAATACAGTATACAGTATGCTGTACAAGTAGAATTTCCCTTACAGAACAACAGTCTAGACGATTATTTTATGTCTTCTTGACCACAACAACTCTTCACCATCGCCGCTGTTGGCGCTAGCTTTCACATGGTCAAGAACGAGCATTTCAGCTAAGAAGGCTGTCCAAGGTTTCGTTCGGTACCATAGCCAGTAGTAATAGGCTTTGATAGTATCGCTGTCACGAGAGCGAGTGATGGTTATGATCCAGACTACAGACAGAGAGAGGGACACACCACGAATGTTACCCGTTACAGTAAAACGAGTACAGTATTTTGTACTGTAATTTACAGTATACTATAGCTGTACACTGTACGCTTCACAGTACTGTACAGTACAGTACATTATACAGTACGCTAATATACTGTACAGTACAGTACAGCAGAAGTATGCACTGTAATGATTTTACCCCCTACCCCCTTAGCTCCAGGACTGGAAGCCTCGCTTTCGCCACCATTTTTCTAGCACTAGCAAAAAGAATCAGGCACTATCTATTCCATTCTGTATTTCCAATGATGGCGACTATATACTGCATAATGAACTGCTAATGAAGATACTGTACTGTAGATGATGTAAAGTTATATTACAAGTACATGCAGACTACATACAATATGCAAAGTCGAACGAGCGCGTGCCTTGTATCATGATGCATAGTTCGCTCGGCTTGCAGCTTCGATAGCCAGTAATGCAATGGCAATAATGTAATGTTTAATTTGATCATAAAATACATGAATATCTACATACAACAATAGAATAAAGACATAGAGCATCTTCACTGCACAATCTTATAGCACGATTATTCAATAGGTAATTTACTATATTATCGTCATTCTTGCTATTTGAATTTACTACATATCCAGGACAGGCTAAAAAATCATCCATCAGAATTATCAAGATGTCAGCCTATTCCCTACAGTATGTACTTTTTCACATCGTCCAACAACGACATTCAATGACGAGAGATAGAGCATCTTAGCTATACAATCTTATAGCATGATCATTCCATAGGTAATTTACGGTATTAAAACGTTATCCATTAAACCAATATGATACAAAAATCTGAAGGATCAAAACAATATTAAATAAGGCTTCCACAATATTGTTAATATCTTTTATACTACCGTAGAAATTATTACACTCTGACGCCAATAAAAAAACCCTTCTACACTATTACTTACACAAGTCCATGATTATCATGTACCGGTATCGCTAAATTGTAGCTTACTAATATCTGATCAAACTGAGAATGAGAATTGATATCATTGAATATTACTTTAAATATTTATATCAAACAAAGAATCAACATATGTATTTAATATTTTGAATTCAAGAATATTCTATATACACATAGTAGCGCTCGATTATTTGAAATATATAATCAATTTCATACTTAGTGCAGTGCAGTCATGTATAATTCCAGTCAGCAAAATAACATGGCTAATCTTTTCTAGATCTAGGCTGCGACAGCCCAGTATTGAACCTTGCTCGATAAATTTCACCCTCTGGCACGCAATTAGGAACCGACGACGTTCGGTCAACTAGAAGTTTCAAATTGGATGTTAACAATGGTTGTTGATTGCCTGTATGCCCTACGCAATTTGTCCTCTTCGAGGTGCTACGCATTTAGCCATAGCATATAGCCAGCAATGGATAAGAAAAAGCAGCGAAGCAGCCAGTAGCAAATTTGAAAGCAAATCATTAGAATCACAAGCATAAACATTAGTGGCTAGTGCGGTGCGGATAGTATCCTGATAATCACGGATTGGATTGATCCATTCCTTAGATTGACTTAAATTGGAGTCATAAAATACGGTATATCTACGCAACCCTTGCTGTAAATTTTGACTTTAAATACAGTAAGATTTAATTATTGTAGATAGTTAAAAGTGTTCGATTCCACCGGGCGTGGACTAGTATAATATGACTGCAACAATATCTAGTATGATAGTATCATTTAAAACACTCTACTATAAAATTTATTTTCATTAGCTATATATTTCGTTTGATGGAAGTTAAATCAACTACATAATTTGCAGAAAATGAAATTCTTCATTTTGAAGCATGAACCTATTTGACGACTAACTGGAAGGAAATGAAAGATTCTGTAGGAAAACGAAGATATGCTACGGAACATCTTTTAAAATAGTATAATTAAAATAGTGCACAAATCGTCATATTATTTTACACTATGTTGACTTTAAATATCTAATATATAAGAAAAGACATACTGTACAGTATTTGCTAGTTGTTCTAAATGTCGAAGCCATTTAATTCAATTTATCGCATCATATTCTTTACTACAAGGTATTTTTAAAGCTGGATTGCGCTAATTTCACAAGGTTAAAATTGGCATAAGTGTATATTCAAGTGGATGCACTGTAGTACATTTTTAGAAGTGCTATTCTATACTGCCATATGTAGGAATATAATCTTCTGAACAAATTGAAATAGTAGACTACTGATACTTAAATTTCTACATATTATTGGTGCATCGTATAAATTATTAATAGCTTTAAAGCCAACATTTCAATCAGCAAAGGTAACAAATAAATAACTAAAAACTATTTGCCCAACTAATTTGACTTACTTAGCCTTGATTCATCCATACTAATATGTCCATTAGGCATTGGTGTACCTTCCGACATAGTGCGTCGTTTTACAGTCATATCATCAGCATTATCCAAATCATCCGGATCTGTTAGCATGTTTTCAGCTAAAAATCTCTCCCTCTTAATCTTAATATCTAAACTCTTAGGTACATCTGGCACCATAATTGCAATGAAAACTGATATTCCAAAAACAAGGTGCTAAAAGGTAAAGAATTAATTAATAACATGGCTACATTTAAAGCACTTTTAAAACATTAATATTGAATGCTAAGAAAGTAAGAGGCAAAATTGGCAACATTAGCAATTTGTTGCTCTTTTTAATGCATGCTCGATACTCAAATTCTAGTTGTATAATCTTATAGCCTCAATATGAAGAGAATCTCCAATACTGATACTTTATCCATAAATCCATGTTGATTTTAATATCATGTCACTACCTCAAAAACAATCACAAATGCTAGCCTCATTGCTGTTAATTCCCAATAAAACAATGTTCTCTGGCCATCCTCGTTACGATAACCTTTATACCGGCAAGGTTCAGACGTCGTGTTAGGCGGTGCATGAGCTAGTGTAAAATTGATATAGCCTTCCAGACTTTCATTAATGGTGAATTTATATAACATCCTTGGAATAAACTCAGATGTGAAAGCGATGACAAAAGCCTAATGGATCAAAAATTTGACATATCAATCCTTAATTATAACAACAATCACACCTTATTCATTTCTGGCTAAAGAATCATAAAATGTAATAATTAATGGACACTTGCTGACGAAAATTTCATAACTTTTACAATAGCTTACATTACAAATGACAGCGATTTTAGTTACTGCTTCTAAAATTGAATACCAAACACCTATTGAAAGCGGAATCATAAACTTATTAAGTCTTTCATTGCCAATTACAGCAAGCAAAATCAACTTTACTTAATAGAATGGACATCGTACCTATGTCCTGAGCTTTTTCAGCTACTGGTCGTTTACTCTGTGTGATATATTTGTTAGCATCCAATCGAATTTCCACCCAGTTATTAAGAAGAGCAAAGAAAGGAGCCAAAGGGAATGATGCCACAAAAACAGTTACAAAACCAAATTGCAATACTATAGCAACAGTTGCCAATGCGATCGAGGAATATAAAATAACAAAATGACGAAATATTATCCTAGGTTAGCTCTACTTCCGTTACTTTCGCCTTAATAATCGTTACGATTACGGAATGCAAATAGCAAAATACAAACATTACGTCACCGATATTTCAACGCTGTCAATTAATCAATCAATGGTATAAAATACTCAGATGAGAGTAAAAACTGACGACTTACTGCCTTTTTATTATAACAGGAATACATAAAGTAAAATTTTATAAACATTTGTATCTTTTTATTTTTAATCTAAATGGCAGCAGGGCAAAATAGCTGACCCATCTCAAGGTATTCTTCAAATAGTGGCTCATCTTTTAACAGTTCAAAGTCTGCAAGCCAACGTGTTTGAGCTGTACTCTCTTCAACTTCTTCCTTTTCTGCATTATTATCTTCATTTCCATCTACATCGTCCGGCGGATATTCTCTCTCTTTCTCACGTTTAAGTTTTTCTTTTTTCTCCTTAGCTAATTGTCTCCTTATCTTGCGTTGGATAAGGTAATTTTTGAACATCCTACAGTTAAAAGCAAATCAGTTAATCTTTTTGATTTATTAAAGAAACATAAGTAATTGTTGGAATTCTAATAGTTATACAGCACTCTACTGAAAGAATTGAATAATCCATCTTTTTCTCGTAATATATAACTACTGTATTAGCAGCTCAATTCTAACGCTATACTGACGGTATAAACAGCTCCTTAGCGTTGCCAATGATTTGCTTTCCAACAGTTACAATAGCTAATTGAGTAGCTAATTCGACAAGACATCCAGTCGGTCCACACTATGTCATAAAAATTTATTAAAATAAATCCGCTGATGATATAGCGATGACTACATTGGACTAGAGAAATATGATTTGCATTGCAAACTATCTGCTATAGGAAATGATTGTTTACATCAACAGGGCGCAATCCAAGAAAATGATCATAATGGCCTGGGTATCCTATAAATCTGCAATAAAAGACATTAAATAGTTCGATTACGTAACTAGCTACTGGAAAAGCCCAGGGTAAAGATTGACATTTTTGTCATTCTAGTCCTACAGAAGTGGAGCGATATCAATGTAAGCAAAATAGAAAATTAGATTGCGAACGCATTCAGCGACAATATACCTTCCTTTAAAGAACGCTATATAAAAGATATAGGCGTAGAAGTTGACAAACTGAAAGCAAAATACTTTAAATGTTAAATGATCTTCAAATTCAGTCTGAGTTCGATGCATTTCTAAAAGAGGAGCATACAATTTTTCCATTAACAGCATTTAATTACATCGATTGAAATGAACGTAAATCTGGAACGGATATAATAATTGTAACATCTTATGGATCCGATTATTAAAACGAATACTATTACAAGTAAAATACTAGCTATTGAATTACCCCATTCTGTTAAGGTATGTGCCAACTTTGAATAGGTCTATACATATCAGAAAGATAATATTGAACTTTTGTCGTAAGAATAATTAAAAATTTAGATAGAATATTTTTATCACTGTTATAGTATTATGACGGCTGATAAAGAATGCTAGATTAAGATAGTTAAGATTAGACATAAAGTTCTTATCACTGCTATAGTATTACAGTATAATGGCTAATAAAGAATACTAGACAAAGATAATTAAGATTATATAACATCCTGATCACTGTTAAAGTATAAAGATAACTGATAAAGAAAATTAAATAAAGATAATTAAGATTAGATATAAATTCCTTATCTGAGACAAAGGGTAACATAATGTTTCGAAGAGATAAATTAAACGATTAACTTAAATAATAATTTCGGGAAAAAATTGATTTCAATCATCGTATTGCATTGATGTAATAGGTTACTATATAGTCTGTCCACTAACCCTACTCAACAGCATAATTAAAACCAAATTCAATATGCCACCGGTGAATCCAGAAATGGATGAGGCAGAAGAACGTAGACTCTTAGATCCATACATTACAATCGTTATAACCGTTCGATAAACGATAACACCAATCAGAAAAATGACAACTAGGCTTGCCTAAAATAGAATTTTTATCATTACAAAATCAATTAGCGATTGATCGAAGAAAAGTAAAGCTCAGCCTATTCTCTGTAAACCTGAGAAAAGGTTCGTATAATCTTACCATAATGAGAATTACAGAGAGACCTGTCAGGTAACGTGGAAGTCGCGTCGCCGGTGACATATATGGTTCCCACTGCCCTGTAATGGGATTTTGTCGTTTACTAGGAGCTAAAGCAGAGAATCTAGGTCTTGGTCGTTCCTATAGAGGATGATGATGCACAGAAATATATCATATCAAAATTCTTCCCTTTCATGAACTAGACCTATGTTTCGAGTCGGAATACCATAATTCCATATCGTATGTTAATCACATACCTCTTCTGCTTCAAAATCCATTGTATCCCAGCGAAATGCCAATGTAGCTTCTTTCCTTTTCCAATATTCAAGAAAAGAAACCGCTATATGTATAACATATATACAAATAAAATAGTTAGCAATCATTTAAGTGAAATGATATAAATAAAATTGGAGCAAATTAGTACAGTACTTAAACTGCGTGCATTAGTATAATAAATATCACAACTTATCAAAAAATAACGTAGAATCAAAGAAAGGACGTTAAAGTATTGCTCAAATTTAAAAAGGGCACACAGTGTTAACAATAACTATAGTAGAATAGTGATCATTAAGGATTGCTCATTTTAAAGAGCTCCATTTATTCTTTTACAGTAATATGAATCTGGCGAATCTATTTGATCGTATTTAGTGTTTAAAGACTATCAAAACCTATCCTTATCCTTTAATTTAAATACAAATTGGATTAATAATACTAAATAATGATAATCTCAATAAGATGAAGATTATAATATGGTTGATCAATATGCGATAGCATCTCAAATCAATTATAAATTCCCCATGACCCTGTACGTTTATGGTAACAATAATGTGAATTATATCCGAAGAACTTAATAGATAAGGGAATAACTATAAGATAATTCAACTATAATTCAACTATGATCCAAAATCAAAAATTCAAGTGTAAGCACTCTGATTTGGATTACAAACGCTTTAAACTGATATCTGCTAACTTCTATAGTCATCAATAATTCATTCAGTAAGGAATTTGTAAAAATATTATTAAAGTAATACATCAACATATTCCATAAAATAACACTAAAAAGAGGCTTACCCCAGAAGCACATAAAAATTGAAAAAAACACCGTCCCAGGGTTATCAAATGCATACGAAACCTAGCAGTGAAAAGAGTGTTCAAGAAAATCAGTAAAACTTTTCTTATTATTATGTCATGTAAATCAAAATTTAAGCAATGACGTAGCTGAAAGGTAGAATATCGAGAGGATAGCTTACTGTAGCTGAAAAGCAATCATCAGATAAATAGTAGTATTCGCATCCAATGCTTGGTGAACAAATGGGACACATTTTAATAGTCTTACCACCTTCGCAAACTTGGGCACTAAGCCATGGTGGTAATAACAAGAAATTAATCAACAAAGATGTGTAAATTTCTAGTTATATGATATTCTTTAATTAATCAATAATAAAGTTTGTAAATATAAGATAAAATGTCCTCTGTAAGTTATCGCATCTTAATGTAACAATGGGGTCAATTGTTTAATTAAATCCTAGACGTTTATTTTGTAGTATCCAAGATAGAGAATAACACCACAGTTCATTAATTTTAATCATGATTTAACCTCATTTAGAGGTAGATATTGACTGACTGTCAATTGTTTTGCGATACGCAATATTATGTGCATACTATCACTTGAGAAGGATCAATTGCAATCGATTCGTAGATAAAGTAAATTTTAGTACTTCGTGGTTAGAAATTATAGAACATTTTCTATTCCTGTGAGGCTAAGCAGAGTATTTTAAACTGATTAACTTACGCGACAGGGTTAGAACCCATGCTTAATATACCAATCATGAAAATTATAAAACCAACTATAGCAGCAGGTAATAGCCAAGAAGTATAAAAACCTTAGCAAAAGCACAGGACAGATATTAAAATGATTGAGGTTCATCATGACGGAAAGTTATAATATACATCGATACATAGTTTATCTAACGTAAGGGCGCAAGAACGATAGCGATTGAATAAAAATCTTGTACTTTTTAAATTACCTAGCCAAGAAAAATAAATGCCAATTTTCTCGCCGAAATATAAACTATAAAGAAATAAAGGTGAGGAAGTTATAGCGGTTGAATTGCAGATATACACTGCATAAATAATGCATTAATAGTCAGCTTAACTGATACAATTAATTACTGATTTAATCTAGATAAATTCTCACCGAATAACTTCGATTGGTTGATACTTATACCATGCTGTCCATCTGGCCCAATGTAGGTATAACATCTAAATAAAATACGTAAACGTATTAGCCAGTGATAAAGACTACAAGGAGTCAAAATGTCGAAATTAATAATGGAGATGTCCAAGGTAGATTTCTTAATCCTATAAATGCCATACCTGGCGAGTATTCATATAATCATCTGGAGGTACTGGATCACCATTACCTACTTCATCCATTAGTGTATTAGAATAAGGTCCCTATAATTTGATGTACAAGGTACTTTTATATTATGCAAACTATATAAATTTGTAAGTCAATAATTTTAAGGCAAGCTGATTAAATATAATTTAAGGAGAATGTTAAATAACTACAAATACGACATACATCATGCAGAGGATAAGCTTCATGAAATGCCTTTTCTTCTATTAATCGATCAATGCCTACCAAAGCAGTGTTCAAAATTAGCCATGGATATTGGTAGTAATAATATTTGGTTAAGTAACAGATAAATAAATGTGTTTCAAGATAAAATGATACTCCAATACACGGAATTTAATTCTAAGCTGCAAAGCACTGCTCATCACGCAAACATCAGTATCAATTGTTCAAGTAACTTCTGTTAAGAATTCTTAGATAAGTAATTTTACTGAACTATTGCATGGTCTTGATTTAGTTGAGCTAAAATATTTATTTATAAAAGTCAATTTCAACAACAGAAATTTATTGATGAAATCAGTAAGCAGGAATTATACGTTATTTTACATATCCACGTATGTAGTCTTAAATTCTGGACTGCAAAGCACTACTCTATAATGCAAACATCAGTATGAATTATTGGAATAGTTTCTGCAAAGAACTCGTAAAAATGTAATTTTTTTGAACTATTATATAGTCTTGAATTAGTTGAACTAGATGGCTATATATAAAGATTAATATAAATATCAGAGATTTGTTGATGGGATCAGTGAACAAAAGGTATGCGTTATTTACATGCCCAAATATAACAGTCTTACCTACTTCCCCAGCTCTCCTATCGCCGTACAAAGTATTGGATAAAATATAGTTAGCCTAAGGGCAGATGAATGTTTTATATTTTTAATGAAGACATTGACCACAAATGAGATATTGGATTAAAGCTATGAAGATGTGATCCATGGATATAACTACTTCTTTATGAGTTAGTTAATTCTATACTCGTATATTAACATAGTTATTATCTATACAGTTCAGCTAAAAAATTGATCTGCTCTAGCTTTGTATAGCGGTTAAAGGCCATTAAATTATCAGCCTTAGCTAATGCAGGCATGAAAAATGATTAATAAATGTCATTCAGCTGTTATAACATTTCTGCTTTACTTATAATAATATGATTACCTATTATATTTTTTAGTCAACGTTGGTATAAATAATTACTGATAACGATTGATCGACTAATAATACAGCATTTCTACTGTACATTACTTCCTAGAGTTATAGGATTACTGCTCATAACTGAAAATAACATTTTCTAATGTAAACTAAATCCACTCATTAGTATCGATAGCTTAATACATTGCAGAATGTCTTTACTCTTTCGTTAACCACGCGATATTCAAATTTTAAAGAAAAGTAGGTTCGATTACTAGCCTTTATTAGTCTAACTAAAAGCATATAAAGACGCCAAGTGCTAAGTAATTTTGACTATCAAGACTCATGCTAAAATGTTATATTCTGTTTGAACTTCGGGTACTTTATTAATAATATAATTGCTATAGATCATTGCCTACCAAGCGACTTCGTTCTGCTGAGCTGAAAAACGACTCTAAATCTTCAGAGCCAACATATCTATGAAGAAAATTGAGCAGAAATTTATTTCGATGAACTATAACTAGAGTTATAGCGCATATAAAATTCGATATTATTTAAGTTTTTGTTCAATTTAGCATAGGATAAATCACTTGTCAATTGAATGATGTATTTACTTGTCTAATTTTGTCCTATCGTATGGGGCTGTAATAAATCGGTTAGGCTTCCATTGAATTTTTGATAACATAATATTGGGTATCCGAAATTTATGTAACCAGTAAGCCGACCAGCAATCATTTGATGATTCATCGATCTATTCATTGATAAAAGCAATTTTATGATCAAAATATCAAATCATCCCTTTCCTAAGAAGAATTAGCAGTTAATATTGTCGAGAAAATCTCCAATATGGCTTCAAATCTATATATGCAATCATCAAACATACCAATAATCTAGCTCTTGACAGTAAATCTTCTGCATATTGTGAAACTACAGCCCATGGTAGATGAACTTTAACGAAATGATATTTAACTGTTTCTGTCTCGTTGACCGACTAATGAGGAAAGAATCAACCACATCGAGAAAACCAAGTAAATTTATAGAACTAGCCAATGCCATTATTATTCAGTATTTCATTAATTGAGTAAAATTATACTATTATGTAGCCTTTTCTTAATTCCCTGTATCCGTGTTAATATTTATAATTATACACTACCTTTTCTAATTCAATACCAATATTTTGTATTGCCTTCTCGAAATCTTTCCGTCGACGGGCATTCCTTTTATCAATTGCTGCTCCAACTTTTTCCTCATACATCAAGATATAATCTAGGTAGTATCCAATTACAAAATTACATTCAGTTTGTACAAGCTAATTACTTGCGCTGCTAGTAAATATTGCACAGTCTTTGACTAAAATTTGATATAACTATTTAAGAGATGAACAAATTGAGCACTCGATGAATACATTGTGTTGTAACCATGCAATTTAACAAGTGTCTAAATGGTATTCTTATTAAAAGACAACTCAAGTGAGTTTAATCCTATCTCTTCTACAATACTTAAGGCTCATAAGCGATTATCTTACGCCTATGTAAAACTAAAGATTTACAAATATGAGCAGAAGTCCATTAAATTATGTAGATCGGATCTACGCCATGTCGTAGAATTAATAGCCTTGTAAATTGAATAGAGTATATTTAATACTACAGTATATTCTCGATAGCAAGCAGTCAAACCAAGATTTTTACATTTTAAAGTAGATTAAATATTTTAATATGCATAAATTCAGTGAATTATAGCAAATTTACGTCGCAAAATTGACTCAATACGCGTATTTGCTACTAGGTAGTGTACTAAATCTCATATTCTCAATCCTGGAAAGTCGAATCGATTCGCCACAGTTTATAGAGTACGATTAATCATTTTGTGATACTAAGTTGTGCGGACTACCCTTAAAATGTATTAGAAGACTAAACTTATAAATAAAATTATTTCAGTCTAATAATTTTAATTCTTAGCAATTAAATCTAGCCGGCTCAGATTCTATCGATACGAGCTACATTACCTATTTTCCGAACACCATCATCGAAATATAACGTAGGATGCTGATAATTATATTCGTTATATCGGTATGCAGATATTTCCAAATTTTGCCTCTAGCATTAATAACATAAAATGAAGGTATCCTCGTAAGCTACAGATATGATTACATTTTATCCATCATTTCTTCAATTTCAATTCTGTAAATAGTAATATCTACTTAAACATCAGTTTACCCATATACAGCGTAAAGTTAGTATTGATTAGTTCATGCAATACTAGTACTCGATTATGCATATGCTTGAAACAAATGTGCTAAAAGTCAGTAAGTCTGAGCCATAATAAAGAGTATCATTGAGGGTATAGGCTATAACCCGCGTGTAAAGTTTTTACATCGATTTTTTTCCGAAATTAGGCATCTATCAATCTATCGAACCCCATCGATCAGTATTTTATGCATATAGGCTAGTAAAATAGTCATTGATGGATAATTATAATTTACTTCCTATTGACGTATTGCTTACTATTTCTGCAAACAGCAATCATTATTAAAGGCAAGCAGCGTTAGAATTAGATTAAGAAAGAGGATCATGGCAAAATTGATTAAAACTACCGTATGTTTTAAAAAAGACTTGAAATTGTATCAAAGAGCAGTATAAGGTAATGAAATTATGAAAGAAATTAAATAATGGATATTTCAGAAAGGATTCAAATCGGGCCAATGCATAGAGGGATGAAATAGTATCGGAATAAATGTTAAATACTGAAAGAATTTTAAATGACAGTAGACCAAGCTGGCTTTAATTCTTGAGGAGAGTCAGATTAAATTGTATGTATGTAAAGGATCAAATTGTGATAAGGTTAATTACTGTATTCGCTATACGAATGGAAGAATTAAGGGATTTGAATATATAAACTAACCGGAAGCTTGTTCTTTCTGATATTCAAGTATAGCATATGCACTAATGTTGTACAATGAATGGTTGATTTTTCATTTGCTTACTTGGAAATTGTATGTTAATGTATTAATAATTATTAGCTGCGGTATTTAAATTATGAGCTAACAGTAAATTGATCCTGATTGTAAAGGACTGTAATTGAATATATTCTCGTTTAAATACTCTCTCCATCGAGCAGTTTCATGGTGCGTTATGAAAGCCTTCTTCGAATTTAATGGCTTAAAAATAAGATAATTAAATGTATGATAATAACGGGGATTATTATTTCATTTCCAATGTGTGTGTGAATGAAACTATTTGCGTTGTTTAAGAATCTAATCAAATAGCTACAATGCTATAAGTTCAGCATTATAACAAATTGTTTTTGATAAAAAATGAATCATGAATTATAAGGATTTCTTGGTATTATAGAACAGACATATCACCAACCTAAGGATGGATACTTACAAACTAGTATGGGGTGATAGAAATTATTTCAATTCTTAAAGTAAGAATAAACGAAAAGTAAATTCGATTATCTCAGTTTTGCTTTCAAATTTTATCAAATTGAAGGGGATAAAAATATCAGAGGTCATGGTAGAAATAACTTGATAAACAAAAACCTTTGAAATAACTGTTTTGCGGAAGCCAGAATCAATGATAAATAATTTTAAAAATAAGGATTTAAATGGACAAAATTATTCAATGTAAAGTATACGAGGAGTATTATCAGGATTTCCGGGTAAAATTCTGATTAACTTGAGCCATAAATATATGATTTTTCCTTAATGGTTATAGGATAAAGTAGAATCGAAAGATCCTATGTCATCATCGTTCAGTATATGCCTTAAATTAAATCAATGAAAAACGATTACAACTACCATTTCTAATTCAGTTTGTTGCTTTTCATTCTCTTCTTGGGCATGGTGATGGATATCTTCATCATCTTCTTCATGTTCACCTTGATCTAATAGCTGCATCGTTCCATAATCAGATTTGTCGTTGGCATTTGGGTTATTGTTTTTCTTCTTATTAAAAATTCCCATCTTGATTAAGTAAACTTTGCTGGCTTATCAGAACTAGAGGAATAAAATCTTTCTTGAATAAGTATTCTTCTATGCCTATAGAGTATCGTAAAATTGGACAAGATATCGATCGAATTGACCAAACTACTTGTATAAATACAGCTCTGCTCTTTGTAGTAAAGCTATTTTTGAATACAATTTAAAAAAGAAGCCACCTGAATAGTAATAACGGCAGTAATTCTGAAGTTGTAATCAAGTTCTATCTAGGTTCAAAGGCAGTTGCGATAGCAAACAATATGAAAATGCTGTAACAAACGCAATTAATGGACTATTTATAATATTATTAACCAATAGCCACCGATAATGCCGTAGAATTCTAAACTCTTAGATCACAACGGGTAAAAAGAACTATTTTCTCAGGTATTGTATATAGACTAAATATGCTTAAGTTGAAATATTAGTAGAATATGGTTGGTAAATTCTCAATTTAGCAATAAATCAATATTATAACGAAAAGAGAGCTTGACCATATGGTTACCGTTTTGCTTCCAATACTCATAATCATCAGTTTTTTACGTAATTGCATTAACGAATCAATTAATCGACATGAATAGTCATCGCCAACCAATCGATCATGGATATGATGATTACGTAAATAAACTACCAGTGATGGAAATGAGGTCAAGGAAGCAATTTTTTACAGTTAAAATGCTACTTAAAGATTCTTGTATTTCTTACTAGAAGAAAAGAATAGCGAGTTATGATTGTTGTTGTTTTAGATGTGGATGCCTATATGTAATTAAATTACTTCTTTGGAAAGTGTAATTTATCTCTTATTCTATTGGAATATCATGACTTTTATTTTTACCTAGACTCATTCCTTGCTATATCTTTTCTATTTAAAGAATAAATTAGAAATCAGATTAAATTCGATGTTTCGACTAAAGTCAATAGGCATCAAATCTAATGATGTATATTAGTGTCAAGTACACAATTTCTAATTATCTAATTTTTATTACTGTCATAAATTGCAAGGCTGTGAAATGGCAGACTAACTGTTGGTAACTTCATAGCATCTAGTCATTTTAGATGGATAAATTAGCTTCTATAGGATTGTAGTGTAGGTCCAAATTAACTTAAGATTAAAATTATACGATTATAGGAAAATAGATAAATTGAACGTTTAATTGTAAAATATTGATAATAGAAAATCCTTCCATTTACAGGTATAAGCTTGATAGTTTTTATATATCATATGTGGTATAGTCTATTTTTAACGTATAGTAAATCAATTTCTCGGCCCTTATAGTGATAAACTATAAGCCATAACGATGTAGAAAGAGGCAAATGATTGTAAGCAGTGACGAGGACTTAGAAGCAATAAAAGCAACTGAGCACGATAATCTAAATTTTCGTAGAGGATTGTCTATATCAATACCAGATTTTCTACTTTTATATAAGTATTCCAGCATGCGACAATAGCATAGAAGCCATTTATAAAATGGCAAATGATTGTAAGCAGAGACAAATGAATATAATTATAAACATCCAAAATAACCAAGCACTATAATCCAGATCTATATTACTGTCTATATCCATACTAGAGTCCCTAATTTTATACGAGTAAGTATACTATCTTGTCAGCAGCATGGAAGCCATCATGATGTAGAAAGTGGCAAAAGATGGTAAGTAGTGACAAGGAATTGAAAGTATTAAAACAACCGAGTTCGATAATTAATACATAATCTAGATATACAGTAAAGTCTATATCTGTGATGGAGGGTTCGAAGAGCCAGATAATGTAGTTTTATTTGCCATGCAGAGAATTGCACAAGGAGCTTAAGAAAAGAGGATACTTTATTGTAAATAGTAGCTAGGTACAATGTGATAATTACGGAAGATCATCGTGGTAGCTGCCGTGAGTAAAGTGTGAATACTAACCGTGACTAATAATGCAACTT